TTGGGTCTTGTTTCTTTTCCTTTCAGCATTGAATAATCCTGTTCCTTTGCAGCCTACGCATGCTGACAGAGCTGCCTACTCGAACTTCACACACAGATAGCGCCAGGGTGCACAAAAATCTCTGTGCGTGAAGTCTGGTTAAAAATTGAAATTGGTGCATTGTGCAAAACTCCCAGATCTTCATCCCTCTGTTTCATAGGCATCTAGGCATCTTTTTATCCGGCTTTACTCCTTCTCTGCTTTCCCTTAGTGCATGGACGCTAATTAATAAATGAATGTAGAATATAGACAATGCCCAGGCTCGTTGCCATAGGGAAGATCTTGTTTCTGTGCCGTCACTGTACTGTCCCTAGTGTAAGTAGGTTTGATTTTAACTCTCGACATTAGGAAAGGGGGGGGGGGGTTAAGGGGTGAAGCCTCGAACCTGGTGCTCCAGATCTCCCAGCTGCAGCTGTGCTGGGTCCTGTGTTTAAGTGGCAGTATTGTTCTCCTGTGCTGTGACCTCACAGGCAGACACTCACTGTTCCTCTCGTGCTCTGTTGTCCCCATTGTTCTCCAGCTGCTGCAGTCCCCCGATTCCTTCATGTCATGTTAAGTAGTGGAAATGTGGAGTTGGACTTGGCGGTTATAAACTTTCCCAAAGGAAAGGAATCCTCTGCGATTCCCTGCCATTGCTGCATGCGGATTCAGCCACTAACTGATGTGACTGTCTGTTGATTGTTTAATTGAGCTTCATTTAATAGCAGTTATGAGGGACCAGCTGGACAGGAGGCTTACAATTGAATTGGCTGGACAGGAAGTGACATCATTGCCTATCCCTGGTGTACTCACCCCAGACCGGGCTCAGCAAGGGTAGATGCCTCATGTTTACTGAGGCATCTACCCTTTTTTACTGTTTACTGCAAGAGTGAAGGATATGCAGTTTCTGTGCTCCGCTAACCTGCACTGGAAAGGTAATGAATGGAAACCAGTCTAGCAGCCAGTGGTCAGTTCTAAATAGGTCTTGGTTGGAATTCAGAGTTGGCCAGTAGTCTTCAAAGACTGTAATACTGCAGATCTTAAAAGTACTTTTTGGTTGCCATCTGATGAAGACCAAAAAATGGTAAATCAATCCCAAAACAAATTCAGATCAGTGCTGGAAAGGCCTTATGGCCTTTGAAGACCTGAAAAATCCTTTCCCGGTTTGCAACTTGATGACTCGTTCTCTCTCTAGCGGACTCCCTGACAGTGACCACCTTGCCAGAAGGGGAGGTGTCCCTCTCAGCAGGATCTCCTCTCAGCCTGTCCTGTGAAGTGGGCGGGATTAGCCCATCGTCCCGCCCCTCCCTGCTCGTCCAATGGCTGCGGCGGGCAGCCGACAGGGGGGCGGAGCTGGAAGTCGCCCGCATGGGTTCCGACGGGGTGGTGACCTGGGGCGATGACGTCAGCAGGAGGGGCGGGGCCTCCCTGGAGAAGGAGGCGGAGGGGCGGTACTCTCTGCGGCTGTTTTCCGCCCACCCCGCCGATGCGGGGATCTACCGTTGTGCGGTTAGCGTCTACACCGGCCGGACGCCTGGCACGAGCAGCCCTGCGGCGAGCCAGAGGTCCAATGGGGTCACTGTCAGCCTGAGGATGAAAGGTGAGCACGATGCTCGGAGGAGTTTGTTCGCTTCGCCGTCCAGTATGTGGCACTGAGCAGTATCTAATGTTGCAGAGTGAAAGCTTGTAACAGAGGAGAGGAAGGCCAGTGGGAAGCAGCAGCAGTCCAGGCAGCTTGTCCAGTTGTTTTGTTCGTGTGTCCTGAAAGGAAGAGAGAACGTAACGGTTCCCCCTCTCTTACCTGGAAAACTGAGGACTGGTGCTATCAGCACCTTGGTAAAAGAAAGAAAATGTATTCCCTGGCTTCTGTGGTTTCTTTTTTTAAACTTTTTATTTTAGAGGAACAGACAACAGAATTTTAAATACAGATGACATTACACAACAATCCTTTAACAATACACATTTTCCAATATACATCACACACGAAAATGTATTTGTTCCCTTTATATGTTACAATGATTTTACTTCTAACCAAACTATATGCATTCAAAATAAGAAAGTTACATACGTTTTTTATGACTTATGAAGAGGGGAAGAATTATGTAGATATATGTTCATACATAATTCTAGTTTCAATTATTTTGTGTCTACACAAATTCAGTCCTTAAAGGCTTAAAGTACTTAACCCACCTAGACCAATATTTGACAAATTTGTTCATCTGTAATTAAAGTGAAAAAGTTAATTTTCCATTGTGTACATTGTGTTCGTTTAGCAATTCAATTTATTAATCATGGATTGTTGGTAAATCTGGAAGAAGCCACTTTCTTGTTTTAGTCTTTTTACCTGCAGATAATTCCAAACAGATATTTGTCAGCATGACTTAAGTGAAAATCTAACTTGCCAAAATATAGAACCTCAAAAGTACCTTCTACCTTCTTGGTTTCCACACATTTTGACTTTCCCCAATATGGTATGCCTTCTGTTTCGGGGTAATAATTTAACAATATTTTTCCAACAATACTCTCTCCATAAATGTAAGTTAGTACATCTCCATTGATATTTGGCAGATTTTAAACCACTCTTCATTTGAAACCTTTTTATCACATTTATCTTTTATATACTCCATAGAATGTGATTTCTTTTCCATAAAACCTTTGTATAATCTACATATAATACCCTTACTTGATTTTGATTTATAAACTTCCGTAATTATTTTTACTTCCACATCCACAGTATCTAGTTCGTCCTTCTATATCACGGCTTCTGTGTTTTCACGTTGTTTTGTTTTGAGTCCTGATCAAAGTGTTATAATCTAAAGCTGAAACTCCCTGAGAATTAGCCTGACAGCTCACAGACAAACGCAGGAGTGTTACTTTTCCCCCCCAGTCAGCCGTCAGGGCACATACAGACACATACACACGCCCAGTCCAGCGCCAGTTGTCCTAATTGACGATCAGTTGTCCTAATTGACGATCAGTTGTCCTAATTGACGATCAGTTGTCCTAATCGACCATCCTTTCAGAGTGTGAGACAGGATACATGAAAGTGGAGAATGTGTGAGCTGATGCTCGTTCTTCTTGGTTAAAGCTGTCCGCGAGACGATGGAGACCGATGTATCGTCATGCCCTGTTTGTCTCCGCAGAGGTGCGAGTGGAGGCAGAGGTGGGGCTCGCCCGGGGACCCCCCCTCCAGCGGGGCCACACCGTCTCGCTGCTGTGCAACGTCACCACGGTGACCTCAGGCCCCGCCCAGGTGGAGGTGCACTGGCTGATGACCAGGGAAGAAGGGGAGGGGCCGGCGGAGCCCGCTCTGGTGGCTGTGCTGGCGCACGACGGCACCTCCCGTCTCCACGGCAACAACAGTGACATCAGCGTGGACCGCCCCTCCCCCAGCTGCTACAGGCTGAGAGTCCACAAAGCAGAGGCCGAGGACCAGGGGCTGTACCAGTGCCACGTGGAGGTGTGGGGGCAGGACCCACACGGGGGCTGGTACAACACTGGGGCGCGCTCCACTTCGCAGCCTGCGCGCGTTTACATGTACGCCCGGGGTGAGTGCTCATATCGCTGTCTCTTCCTGCCAGTCAGGGGTGTCTCTGTCTGTGCCCCCCTTGTGCCTGACCTGGTCAGGCAGGCCAGTGGTTAAGGAAGAGGATCGGTCAGTCACAGTGTTGGAGGCTGACCCAGGAACCAGTGCAGAGCTGGCTGCCTAGTCTCTTAGTGTTCTCTTCTGTAAAGTGACACGACAGCACCCTCTGGATTCTTAAATTGTTTTGGGTGAAAGTCTAAAAATGTATAAAATGAATTTCATAGCTGTCTAATAAGTGTGACCAGACCTGACACAAGGGGTTCATTAAGACGACTGAAGGACAGCAGTATTTTTCAGCACGGCTGCTTGGGGAAATCTTGGCTAGAATAGACGTGTGACATAACAGAGGCTCAGACCCAGCACATCTGGGCTCCGAGTGAGCAGCTGGTCGAGCTCAGGGGGCCCCACCGATTCCTTTCTCTTGAGAAACTCCCAACCCGTTGATTGGTTTTCCATTTGAGCTCAGCGGGTCCGAGACCCACCTGTGAAGAGAGGTATTGTAGGCCGTTACTATGAGCCGTTATTTAGTTCTACATGTAAACTAGTCTTTTAAGGGGTAAGGTGGCTGAGGAAAACTGTTGCTTTGACGTATAAATTCAATGACGGGCGCTCCCTGAAAGCTTGCATTGTCATTTCACGAGGAGCTTCATTTGAATCGGCAGGCGAGGGATTTGAATGAAATGTAAATTTTCCAGGGCTGCTCCAGCCATTTGTTCAGGGGGTGAGTAGAATGTCATGCATGCGTCCCAGCACAGCCAGCAGCAGTGTCCGGGCCTGCAGGAGTTGTTCTGAGCACCTGGGGGAATTGGTGTTATTCAGAGAGGCAGAGTGGGGTGCGTTCTTCTGGGCCGGGTGCCTCTGTGCCCTTCTCACTCCCCAGCTGCAGCTGTGCAGGCAGCTGGATGGATGCCCGCGTCATTGCTCTCTGTTCCCCCTGATCCATACAAGAATGTGGCAGCCGTCCCACACTTGTCCCGCGCGTCTCGGGCTAATCCGCATCTTCTTCCTTCTGCAGCCGGCGACTTGCTCCTCATCCCTTTCGTGGTGGGCGTGTCCTCGGCCCTCTTGGTGGGCGTCGGCATCGTCGCCTCGGTGACCTGCTGCTTCCTGAACCGATTGGCTAAGCAGCGCCGCAAAACCTAGCAGGAGAACAGATGACATTGGCTGGGGAGAGGCAGGGCAGAGTCGGCACCCTTTGGAACGGCAGCCAGCGTTTTCAAGGCATTCTGCTCTGCCGTGAAGGAATCCCAAGGAATTCTCCAGCATTTCAGTGGCAGTTCGCCCTCCAATTCTGGAATCTGAAGGAATTCTCAAGCATTTGCACTCCGATTCAGGAATCCGAATGTATTCTCCAGCATTTTCATGGCAGCTTGCACTACGTTTTAAGGGATCTGAAGGTCTTCTGAGGAATTCTCTGGCATTTGTCCTGTTTTGCTCTTTGCATTTTGCTCTCCAGTGAAGGAATCCAAAGCACTTACAAATTCCCTGACTGGGCCAATGACTGAGCTCAGGTAACCCACAGCAGCCAGGCACGTGGAAGGACAGTCAGATGCTTGTCCACTAGTCTGTCACGCTTGTCCACACTGTAGCTGGACAGAGGGACAGTCCCTATAGCGCACGGGACACGAATCCGCCCAGAAACGTTTTCACTTTGGAATCGTGCTCCTTCCTGTCACTCTCCAGTCTTCGAGTTCAGCGCGTACAGGGTCACCGCGCACTCCAAAACGAGAGACGTGATGACGTTACTGGTGCACCTCCGTCCCCGCTCCCCGCCCCAGAGGATGAACCACTGTAGAAACTGTGGTTTTCTTTTCAAAACCGAAACGATCCGATTTTTAGTTCTGTGCTTTTTTGTTTTGTTTTTGAACAGATACGTATCGCGTCTTTCACGCAAGGAGGAAGGCCACCTTCCTCAGCCTGCACTTCCCGTGTGACTGTTTACAGGGCCCCAAAGGCACTACGAACCTCTAAATATTGTTGGACGAACAAATGGGATGTTGCAGCCATTGAAGCTAGTGCAGGAAGGTTTCAGTTGTCTGTAGTAGAAATGTCCGCTTTCGTAAGGAAGTTCTAGGCCGGCTCTTCCCCTTGCTGGTCTCCGTTGTCGGCTGGTTCTCGTTCCACCTGAGCCTGCAATTGCTCCATTCAGCTGATTCGCTTGGTTGGAACGTTGCTTGTTTTCAGCTCTTGCACTGCTGCTATTCTGACCAATGTGTTCTGTAGGCGGCCAGTCTCAGTGCTAGACTGATTTTGTTTTAAAACAAAAGTCTTGACTTCTAAGTTATAAATGTGTGTAGGTCATTAAGACCTCGGCTTGTAACTGGTGTTTTCTAAGAGTTTGTAAAGGTGGAGAGAAGGAGCGGCCAGTTCTGACTCTTCCAGTCCAGGCAATTCCAGGGACTTTGGTTCCTTTAATTCATTTAATTACTGAATTGATCCTGAATTGCTTGATTGACTTGAGTGCTGAAATTCAGTTTGACTGGTCTTTGGTCATTTCACCTGTCATTTAAGTCATTGAAATGAGATAATTATTTGGGTAAGCGGTCAGGTCACCTTTTTTAGGTCTTAATCGGTTGCTGATTAAAACGAACCTGTAAAATAATGTTCCCTCACTACTAAGTCACGGAACTCTTAACTGGTTAACTGGTTTTCCAAGCTTACAGGCATTGAGGGGTAAGAGTCCCCAATAAAACTTGGTGGTCCTCCAGGACAAGGAGGGGGGATTCCTGTTGAATATATCACAGGAATTGACCATGGCAGGTATGGACACATTTGAAGGATATAGCAGTGGAATTCAGAGAACAGCAGTGCATGCTTTAAGACTTAAAACAAGCAAGGCTGAAGGCTGTCTTGAGAATACACTTATCACAATAAACAGAACATTCCTTCAGGACAATAATTTAAAAAAGACTGAAAGCTCCCTTAAAAGCATCCTTGCTTTGAAAAAAGTAATGAGTGATATTGTTTACACAGTATGAATACATACACAGATGCCATGTGTAATCTTTTAATCTACTACCCCTGAAGCCTGAAATACTGAGCACAGCTAAAAGCCACTTGCTAGCCAGTGACCCAGCCAGCTTGGGTCTTGTGATTCCAGAAACTGTCAAAACAGTTCTATGATCCAAAGGTCATGCCTTTCAATGGTGTGTCTAGCACAGAAACACACTACAGCCTGATTTCCTTGAGGCCAGCAGGTTTTATTCCTGAAGTCTTTTAAGACGATGGCATTAATGCTGTGAATTTAACAGTGGCTTTCCAAACCTCAGCCCCCTCTTGGCTAGGTTTTAAATGGCAGGGTTTAATTAAATTGAACACTTTAATTAAAACTGCATGCCTTCTATTTTTTGCCCTTTCAGTTACTGGCAGTGCACACATGTATTTCATTTTTCTATGCTTGTGATGTTGATGTTTGTGAGCTTAGAGCATTGAGTTTCATATGGAGAGCTGTTGACAGGGGCTAGCCTTAACATCTGTGTGAACTGAATCATTTCACTGGACATGCAGAGCTCTGACTACATGCAGTAAATGTAGACATTTCCTTTGATCTTATTGTACATCTTCAGAGTAGCTGTTACCCCCGCAGTTTTCAGAATTGTTTTTAGAGTGTTTCTGTTGGAAATTGGCTGGTCCTCCATGGGGGGTTCATTAGCCAATGCAACTGAATTTAAAGAACATTTTATTTTAATGGTATCTATAAAACACAGGTCTATGAAGTTGACATGATGCTGCCGGTGAAAATATGTGGTTTCTTTATTTTTACAGCACTGTTTAGTGATGAATTGTGTTTTTTTTTAAATTTGTAAACGTTTTTTTAAATTACAAAAACTTGTTCAGTTTTTTTTTTTCCCATTGTTGTCATTCATTGTTTGCAAATGTTGAGAAATCGGAATAAAATCCTGTTGGAAGAAAATATGATCTGTTGTCAGATGTCTAGTCTTTCCCCTGTTTTCCTCCGAATGCTGCTTGGTGTTTAATGATCCTGTGTGCATGTCTTGGTTACCGGGTTACACCTCAGGCGTCAGCTGCCTGAAAGCTGCAGTGTCTTCTGGGCTTTGAGTCAGCTGAGCTCAGAGTGATTTAATTGGATCAATGAGGTGCTTAATTAGGATACATTTACTTGCTCCGCAGATCTCTGCTCACTGACTTGTTTGTTTTAAGCCACAGGTGTGTAACTCCAGTTCTCGAGGGGCAGAGTCCAGTAGCTTTGCTTGGTCTAGATCTCCTTCCACTCATTTATTTTGAAACCGATTTCCCCAGTACAGGTTTGGGGGGAGCAAGGCAGGATACACCCTGGACAGGACACCAGTCCATAGCAGGTCAGACACACACACCCCACCAGAGGCCAACTCTCCCGGTAGCCAGTTAGCCTACCAGTATGCCTTTAGACTGGAGGAAACCAGAGCACCTGCTGGAAACCCACATGAACATGGGGAGACCATAGAGACTCCACACAGAACGCATCCCAGCTTCAGAATTGAACCCAGGGCCCCAGCACTGAGAGTCAACAATGCTAGCCACTGTGCCACCTAAAGCCTTTGAAAAGTGTGAAGCTGGTTCCATTCTGCTAATGAGTGCAAACCAGCAGGTGGTGCAACCCCCCAGGACTGGAGTTGTCCAGCCCTGTTTAGAGGGTACTTGTAAAATTCCCGGGTGATCGGGGTTTCAGATCCCTGTTGTAGCAAATGGAAAAGAGGCTAGGGAGTCAAAACCGTTGGAGACTGACTCAGTGGCTGAAATGGAGGTAGTTATTGTAACGCTTACGGCCGATAGGCACTGTGTAAGAGCCGGCGTACCAGAGCAGGTGACGTCACCGCCCTTCCCTGTGATAGCAGGACTACAGCTACTGGGCTGTAGAGAGATCTGGGTCCCTGCAGAATGACGCGGGAGTCCCGGGTTCGAGCCCCCGACGGTGCGGGGCCGACCTAATGCGGCAAGGGCGCCCCCCTGAGCCCCCGTTGCGTTACATTATTATCCACTTAAATCACAAAGCGTCGGCAGTAAGGGCAAGTGAAATATTCCATATATTACATGCGATATCTGCATTCTGCTATCTGCCTGTCGTCTAGTGAGGCTAGTTTCACATGAACGCAATATCCGTCTGAAATGATGTAGAGGATCTGTATCAACGCGGTGAAGTGCGCAGAGGCGTCACAGTGGACGGTTTATGACGTCACCCACGACTATGCTGACACGGTGGAGGCTGCGCCAAGTTTGTCGCGCGGACAGCTTCGCTTCACTACTCAAAAGTATAATTTTTTTAAAAAAATGGACGTCAAAGATAATTTGAGCGATCTTGATCTGGAAACGTCGCTGAAGTCCTCCAACGTTGAGGTCCCCTATTCTGTGCAGGTGGTTCTGAAGAAGATCGAGTTTTCGCAGCTGCACAGGGCTAAGAGGGTAACGGACTCAACAGTAACAATCTTTTCAAATTAAGTTAGATAAAATTCAAAATGAAATATCGATGTAAATTAATAAACCAGTTTATTCATTTTGGTCTGGGGGCTGTTGCCAGATACGTAAAGTGTAGCAGGTATGAAAGAGATTTGTTTGGATACGTACTGAAATTCATTAAGACTTTGTAGAGAAACTCGCGCGTAATTGGAATATTATTTTTTCTCCGGAGTAAATCTTTTGTGTGAAGATTCGCCCGTTTTTAGAAACAACAAGTGTAACTCTACAGATATATTTTATATGAAAACTGACAGAAAAAGAGTGTCATTGTAAATAAAATCTATCTTATTTAATTAATGTTTCCATTGACAAAAGGGTGGAGCTGTATGCCTGTTCTGTATTTTCCTCACAAGGGGCAGTTTCTTACCCACAGGCTTTTAAATTAGTGGGTTCTTAAATGTCCGTGTGGATATTCTCACCTGTTCGGGTTAAAAAATGATGGCGAACATTTCGGCACGGAAGGCCGTGACAAAACAGAGGTGTACATTTGGTGTGATGGGTGAAAACTGGCCCAGGACACCGGAGTAGATGCTCTTCCACAATCATGCCGAGACGCAGAGAGAGGGGAGCCCGGCCGTGTGGCCGTGTGGCGGCGGCTGTTGGTCGGGCTGTGGCGGGCCGCGGCGCCGACCCCTCCCTCTGCCCCCTCTGCCCCCCGGTGCAGGACGTCGGCGAGAGCCTGCGCGCCGTGCTGAGGAGCGTCAATCTGGCGCTGCACCACGTGCGGCTGGGCTCGGCCCTGGAGGCGGAGCGCGGCGGCCGGGTGACGCCGGGCTCCGACGCGGAGGAGAAGAGGAAGCGCGCCCAGCAGCTCGAGGGCATGGCGCTCTTCCTGCAGTCCAGCTACGACAAGGAGACGGAGCTGGGCTGCGTCCTGCGCTGGATGACCGAGACCGGTGAGGCCGGCTGCTCCTGGGTCTACAGAGGCGGGGTCTGGCTGTGGTTGCGGTGGCCTAAAAGCGCTTGGTCTTGCCCTGGATCTGCGGACGTGCAGGCCCGTGCTGTAAGAAGTATGGAGCCGTATTCATTCAGAGTCTCAGGCAGGGATGGGTGTAAGAAAGGTTGCAAACGAGAGGAAATCGTTTCACTCCAACTAGCCTACGAGGTAGTGAGTAGTTCATTGATCAGAGGACCTCGCACATCTGTTTTTTGGAAAGAAACCAGGGTGTCAGATTCAACAACATGGCTGGACAGCTTGTTCCACACTCCCACAACCCTTCGTGTAAAGAGGTGCCTCCGTTTTTAAATGCACTTCCAGGCAGTTTTCACTTGTGGCCCCTGGCTTGTGTTTCACTTTTCATTCACAATTTAAAAACAAAGGCTCATGTCCACAAGGGTCAGAGTCCTGCAGGTGTTACAGGTACATTTTTGATCTGCTGCTGATTGACATACTACTTAATTAGTGTAAAGAAGTAATGACAGCATAAAAACTGAATTAGATTAGACTAGATAGATCTGTAATTTGGGAAATCTGGGTTCCTAGGCCAGGCCCTGCAAGAGGTGCAGGAAGACGAGGAGTACAGAGAGGTGAGGGAGATCACGGAGGAGTGGGTGGAGGAGATGGAGGAGAAGATCGAGAAATCGCTCGGCGCCATTCAGGGCTGCATCGACAGGCTGAGCCGCCTCTGCACCCTGCTCTTCGAGCTGGACACCAAGAGCTCCAAGAAGAAACAAGCAGGTCAGCGGAGCGGGCGAAGCCTGCCGCAGTTTTCCCCCCAGTGGTCAATGGGAAGTGCTATTCGTTTTACAAAAAGACAAGCTATGAAGTTTTTGCTCTGCACATCAGACAAAACTCGAGAGATTATGTTACCATTGCTTATCTGTCATAGATTAGGAGCCCCTTTCTTCTACTCTGCAAAGCCTTTTCCTGAAGGCCTCATTTCCACTACTGAAGCCTTCATCTTCACCTCGTCAGCACCCTCGTGTCACAATCACGGCGTTCTCTGCTCAGATTAGCACTAACTGCTTTATTCAAGAAGGAGCCAGAGCCTCTACTGGGAAGCAGCAGGCGCAAGGTGGGGTACACAACAGACAGGCACAGACACATACACACTCACACCAGGGCTAATTTTCGCAGAAGCCAAGTAGCGTGTCTTTGGACTGTGGGAGGAAACCCACGCAAACACAGGGAGAACATCTGAACTCCACACAGATAACACCCCAGGTCTGGAACCGATCTCAGGGCGCTGCACTGTGAGGCAGCAATGCACGCCACTGTGCCACCATGCCGCCCCCGTTCAGATTAGTAGTTAACAACACTTAAGTAATCAGCTCTTCCTCTCCCAATGTTCATTTCCTTGAATCCCCTGCAGTTTCTCCTTGGCATGCTTATAGTAGGGCTATCAGGGCTGTCCAAAGTCTTTTTAATACCTTCTTGGCAACACCACAATGTATTGAGTGTTGAGATACATCTGTGTCTCCTGAAATAACATGCAGTATTCACCGTGTGTCATGGCAGCCATCCACAAGGGCGGAGTGTGGAGGTGGTGGCGGGAAAGTAAGGTGGATGCCAAGATGGTGATGAAGATCCAGGAGCTGCAGCCGCCCGGCGTGGAGCGTCTCCTCCAGGACTCCAGCCTTGGCATCAGGACAGTGGCCGAGCTGAGCTTCATGATCTCGGACATCGCCAAGTCCCTCTCCTGCAAGAAGGCGCTGAGCCTGGCCTTCAAGTTCATCCAGAAGGGCCTTCAGAACATCAGCGGGGCTTTCCAGGAGCGCACCAAGGAGAACCTGGAGCTGGCGGCCCAGCTGCAGAGCGTGAGGTCCGAGGAGTCCCGGCCCAACCTGGAGCGCCTGAAGACTGAGGTGGAGGCGCTCAAGAAGAAGGCCGCCCGGCTGGAGAAGGAGCTGGCCTGTGCCGAAGGGAAGCACGCCGCGCTGTTGGGCGAGATGGAGAAGGAAGCTTCCCCCGTGGTGACCAAGACCGCCCTGATTGTAGTTCCAGAGGAAAGTCTCCTGAGCGTCGTCCAGGAGGAAGCCAAGCAAACCCCGCCGGCGCCCTCCCCGGTTCCCAAAAGCAAGAAAACGGAAGCTGTCAAGAAGAAAAAGAAGCCCAAGGACGTGGCAGTGCCCCCCGTGGAGCCGGAACATATCAAAAGCTCTCCCCCCGTGGAGCTGGCCGCAGAGGAGGAAATCGCCTACGTGGAGCCAAGCTTCACTCTGGAAGAGGAGGTGCTCCTTTCTGAAGACGAGGGGACAGCCGCATCTCATCAGAATGACGGCATCATGGAGGAGATGGAGAAGATCAGCACCAGGCTCCTCCAGAACTTTCAGAAGGCTGTGCTGAATGTCGCCGAGCGTTCCCTGTTGACTGGTCAAGGAGTGGAAGACCAGCCTAAGAGGGCAGCAGACGCGGTCGCTCTCTACGACCTGCTGGAACAGACCATCCAGTCTGCTTTCAGCAAACTGGTCAGCGAGCTCCACGGCACCTTCACCGACCGTATTGTAAAAATGCCCCATCTGGATGACAACCTGGGGGCGGCGGGCTTTTGGGAGGACACACCTGGGAATCCTGGGGATATGCTCAAGGAGATCAGCAAGATGTTTAACGCCCAGGATAGACACCTCGAGGAAACAGGCACCAAGATGAAGGCCCTCCTCGGCCCGGATGGAAGGAAAGATGCCAAACTAGGACCGCATCAAATCAAAACCCTGCAGTCTCTCCTGGACCAGCTGAATGATGTCCAGGGAATGGGAAAGATACAGTTGTGCAAGCTGAGGCTGGTTCTGGAAAGCCTCTTAGACATCCACCAGCAGATGAGCCTCAGGCCCAAGGAGCAGGTGGTCTTCGTGGAAAAGGCGATTGTCGAGGCGGGTGAGCCCAAGCACATAATGGCCCCAGGACTGGAGCAGCGGGAGGAAGGAGATCAAGCAGCAAGAATTCAAACGGAAACCTCTGTTGCCAGCAGTCAGGGCACGCAAAGGAGGGTGCGAATGAGCAGAGCCAAGCCGAAGACTCTGAAGGAAGACGTGGCCCGCTACAAAAAGGAGATGCCAGAGGAGGGGGAGCATCTTCTGAACACCCGAATGGCTGGTACGACCTTCCTGGTTGACGTGGAGTCCCAGAAGACCAACCTGAGACTCCTGCAGCAGGCTTTGCGCAGGGGTGACATCTCCACGCAGCTCTACAGCCTGGCTAGTGACCTCATTATACGGGCTCTGAGCACTGACGAGCTGCGTCTGGTGTGTCTCTTCCGAAAATACACGGCCTACTACTACATACAGAAAGTGAGGTAATGGCGTGTGGATAGAGAATGCGGGAAGCTTTTACGAATAGTTGTATTTGGAAACGCATCAGCGTCGGCCAAAGCAAAAAGTTCCCTTGTTCGTCTGGGATGTCAAATTTCCAGATGTAAAACCAGTGATATGGAAGTCAGCCTGCTGTAGCTGCTGTAGCTGTACCTGCTGTAGTGTTTCCAGTGTGAAACACTGGAGGGAAGTGTGCATTTCACAAAAGTAAATGAAATCCACTTTAACAAAACAGTTTGAGTAGTTTCTCAGAATTTTTGCATATAAATGGTAAATGTAAGAGTAATGGCAAGATAGTAATAGTAGTAGCAGGAGTAGTGGAGTAAGACCCCACATGAGGAAATGTCTTGCATTTTCTTCTCCCCTGTCTAAGGTACAACCTGAATGTAAGGTTAACAACAGCAAAGGACCTCAACAACGGGAAGTCAGTCAAGGACTTGTACTCCTTCCTGAAGAAGCTGGATGTCTTCCAGGAAGCGGTTTTACAGCGCTGGGCTGCCAAGCAAGCCACCATCAACCAAATACACAAAGTGTGCTTCGCTCACATGCTGTACCTGTTCAGCCAGGTAGGGATTGGCGTTAGGCTCAAGGCTAAAATCAGTGAAGACCTTGGCTGAAGGGTGCCAAGGTTAACTCCCTTGCATCTCCCATCTTTGTCTGCTCCTGCTAGATGAGGGAGGACACCAACCTCCATCTGGTCAGCCCCTTCCCCTCCTCCTGTGAGACCAAGCCGTCCCTGCAGAGGCACTTCCTGTCCCGGGCCGAGCCTAGGAAGCTGGTGTGGTCCCTCAGCCCCGGCAGACCACCCCACTCCCTTCCCGCCTTGTCCCGTCCCGTCACGCTGCGTCGCCTTGATGTGCCGGGGCCTGTCTTGGGAACCAGGTATGTCTCTCCCCCAGAGTAAGTAGCAGCAGTGTTTTTGACAGACCTTGTTCAAAGCACAGGAAACTCTTGGGATGTTTGACACAACTGCTGGCAATGCTATTACAGTCGTGTAAAAAGAAATAAAGTCCCAACTGGAGCCACAGCAGATCTTCGGGTCTGAGCTCATCCTGGTTCCTGCAGGATTAAACAGGCTAGGGAACCCAAGACACCCCCTCTCCTGGGTGGGACAGCAGGCCAGAACAGAATCGCCCCCCAGCAATAATGGTCTGCTGGGTGGGACTGGAGCCTCTGGTGTCAAGTACTTTGAAGGAGGTACTACAGCAATGTCTGCAGTGGGGACTTGAATCCACTGTCACGCAGCGTTCTATCAGGACCCTATGCAGACAACACAATCCAGGGAGGAGTGAGGAAAATACGGGCAAAAAGGCATGCAAGGAGCTGGAAGGAAAACAGGGGGCGTGTCCATGGTACACTAGTGTTCAGGGGAGGTGTGGCAGAGGCAAACAGTCCGAGGGAATCTGAGGCAAATCCGAGAGTGCAGCAAATGTCCAAGACCGGGTAATCCATCCTGACAGACAAACAGAGTTTGGAGACAGGTCAGGGCAATAAAAAGTGGGCAACGGGACCAGACGCTTCAGTCCTGGACCCAGATGGTCAGGACGCCGTGATGAAGCCTAAGCCGTCGAGTCGCTCCTGGACTCGCAGGTAGGCGGGCTTCCGGGTGTCCATCTTCCAAAGCTGAGCCCCGATAGGCAGGAACGTCTGGCTTATATAACACGGGGGGCTGGAACCGGAGGCAGGTGCGGGAGATGAGTCTAAAACAAGGAAGGGCTGGAGTGTCTTTAAGAGGAATGGGTTTACGATTGTGACACCCACACCCTGTCAGTCAGGAGATCAAAGGCTTACCCACTTCGCTTCAGCGCCCCCGTTGTGGGGACGTAGCTCTCTGAATGTGTGCAGCGGTATACCAAGAGGAGAGCCAAGTCAGGAGCAGCAAAGCACATTGAAGTCACGGTAAAGCATGAAGCAAGTTTTCCCCATGTGGAACACATGCTGAAGCATGTGAATGAATGTGGAATCCTTCGGCTCCGGTAACAGGACTGTGTTTTTCAGGGAGCCACTTCACGGTCATCTTCAGCCCTTGTGGGACAGCAACGTGGCGGCAAGGAGTTATGGCATCGTAACAAAGACCCCGGTGACGTCGGGACCGCTGTTGGCCGACGTGCCCCGCCTGCTGGAGCTGGACATCAACCAGGGGAGAAGAGCAGCGCTGTGGTCCCTGCAGGCCAGGTAATCACGAGGGGCGCGCCTCTTTTGCGTCCGGCTGTTGTGAGACCTGGAGGCGGTTTGTTACACAGACCTGAGCCCAGAGCCTCGGTCCAAACATCTCATTCAGGACAGTCGCAAGTGTCGAGGCAGGGGTCTCCAGTCCTGGTCCTGGGGGACTGACATGTCTGACGGTTTCCGGCTCAGCCCTTAACGACCTTAATCATCACATTACTGGCTTAATCGCACAGATGTACCAGCCTCTCCCAGCTCTTCAGGTACTGGTGCTTTAGAAAGACCTAGAAAACTTACAGATACAGTGGATCTCCAGGATAAGTTTTGGACACCCTTGATTGAAACGAAACGTCAGGCCTGCAGCGGTGGCTAAAGATCTAGAACCAGTGGACGTTCTGAGCCGTTAAGTGATGGTTCATTAAAGCAATGTGGTTGGATGAAACACAAAACACCCAGTGCCTTCCAGGACCCAGAGTCACCACCACTGGCCTGCTGCAGATCAAGTGCTTTCATCTCTCCAATCTTGATGATTTGCAGCGTGACAGACAAGATTAACCTAGCTGGTGCTAAACCAAAAGGTGTCTTCGTACGGCGTAACGCAGGGGTACCTTATCCTAGCCATGGTGGGCTGGTGTGTCTGCAGGGTTTCTAGGTCTCCTTAAAGCACCAGCGCCCAAAGAGCTGGGAGAAGTTGTCAGATTATTCCAGTTTAACCATTAATGGTCTGATTAAGAGCTGATTTGGATGAAACCCAGAGACAATCAGGATCAGGTCATCTCTATCCTGTAGGTGTTTAGCTCAAGGTCAGTGCAGTCATGTGGCACGTCTGATTGTACAGCTCCCCCAGTTCTTACTAACCATGAGCAGTAGTATATTTCTGCTGCATGGGGGTTCCCTCATGAAGACAAATCACAACTCCTGCTGGGAAAGAGTGTAAATCAGGCATGACAGTGAAAAGCAACCCCCTGACCCCTTGCTCATTTCTTAGATTTTTTTGTAGTGATGTACAATTCTAGCAGTTGTAAAGCTCGTCTGCTCTCTTTCCTGTCCAAGGGCAAACAGAGGCATCAGACAGTTGCTGGGCAGAGGGGACGTGTAGAAAAAGCTCTTCGCTATACGAACAAGCTACCTGGCAGCTAGCCCATGCAAGATAAGAAATGAAGCACTCTTTAGCCATACAGGCCATCCTAGAATGAGGGTTAGAAACCACATTCAGCCAGTTTCATCCATGTTTGCACAGTCCCTATGAATAAAACTGAACCATATGTGAAATTTGAAAAGTAGACATGTGCTTCTGATTGTGAGTGCAGTGTGGAATGAAAGAGCTGTTTCAATTGAGATCGGAGACTGTGTTTTATTCTGGCAGCATGATACATTTAAATGGATGGTTGTAATGAAATAATGTTCCAATAGGGAGTTCAGCAGGTTTCACAGCAGCCAGCGTGCCTTGAAGTACATTGCAGAATCACCTGTGCAACACAGCAGTGACGCTTCAGGTAGTCACGAGGGGCAGCGGGCAGAGGACACACTGCGTTTACTTGGTCCCTCCACAAGAACATGCTACAATTCCTTGTTTCCAGGCAGTTGAGGTTTCCAATTAATTTAATCCAAGATGTTCACGTCAGGACGTAACAATGACATTGCCATAAATTTACCATAACCCTGTGTGGATGGTCCTAAACTCAGATGGTCCTTGAACTGTGCTGCTGGGGGTCTGATGGATCTGGCAGCCATGTGGTCTGCTTGCCGGGTCCTGTGGGTTGCTGCAGTGCTCCCTGCCCCCTGCATGGTGACTCCGGCTAAGCCTGCAGCCGACACGACCAGGACCGAGGGGTAACCAGCTCCCAGAAGCCCCCCTACACCAGAACAACAAGAACACAGAGGAAGCATAGCACATGTCATTGTCAAGACACTACATACAGTATACAGTATAGTGTGCTCTTTTTAGGTTTATTTTTGCATGTGGCGTGTGCAGCACCCTTTGTTAATGCAGGTGAATACGCAGTTAATAAGACAGGTAAGACTCCCATTGCAGAGCCATGTGATCTGTTTCAGGATTTACGAATTACTGGGATCTGGCACATGCCAGCAGCAGCTGCCGTGTACTTCAGGCATTTTGCTGCATGTGGAGTAAATCTGTCATGTTAAAGCCATATTAAAAATATCACGTTTCTGCTTCATCAGTACAATTTCTTGCAGCTGGTATAAAAATGTGGTGCTTTTTTCAAAAGATCTGTTGCACTGTATCTTCTGTTTTATTGTTGGTGCACATATCGTACAATGAAAATTATATATACATCAATTTATACACAATAGACAGACAGACAGAGACCTATAAACAGTCTTCCTGTGAGTCATATTTACTGAAACTGCATGCAACGCCAACATAGATGAACATGGACTGGATTGTCTCTGGTCTCAGCAGTCATGCAGCAGAGTAACTCATATCAATCAGCGTTGCAGTCAGCAGGTCATATCAGTCATGTTTCATGTTGGGGAAGTTTAAATATGAATACAATTATTCTGGACTGGAAAAAGCGGCCTTATCTCATTGTAAATCTTCCTTCTGTCTGTGTTGACACCCAGTGAGGTACAGTAGATTTCAGATGTAGTGGTGAACAGCAGTGAGGTCTGTTTCAAGTTGGACAGGGCACAAGTTCTCAAATGAACCAATGTTTTCTCTGTACTTTTACTATATATATGTTTGCATACTAAATGATGTTAGCAGTCCGTGTCTGTAACTGAGCTTCTGCTTCTGTTCAGAGTTAGATGGATCGCAGCGTTGATCGGTCTGATACTGGTACACACCTCTTTGCGTGGGCAGTGTATCTGGGCGTACCACTCTTGGCAATACAGGCACACCTGGATTCCCTGGCCAATAAACAGACAGGTCCACATGATGATGTTCCAGATGGGGCTCTGCCTCTTGTCGTTCATTGTGAAGTTGAAGATCACTGGGAAGGGAAGCAGATGTTGTAATGAGTTACCAGGCGCATCTGGGCGTATGCGCTCCATGTACTGTATGGTCTGTACAGTACAGGAAGTGTGCATGCCTTTGCATTTTGCAATGGATAGGGCAGAAATCAATTTGAGTGCTAAGCTCCAAGCTGAGCCAGGGATGGATGCCAAAAGAAATTACTCCTCCTGCGAGGGGATTTGGAGGTGTAGGAAATGAATGCCTCAGCATTTGAAAAGCAGGATGTTTGATCAAGCTCCTTTCACAAATGGAAGGAGTCAGTTGTCACAGATTGGAGTGAAGCAGATTACTGCAGCAAAGCCTGATTATGGGCAATGGCCAAAAGACATAGTGCTTCCAGCAGAGAGTGATTGGGGCACAGAAGCAGCAGAGCACAGGCAGATCTCGCTCTGTGCCCGCCCTTGCCACATCTGCTGTCTGGATTACTTTGAGAATGTCAGCTGCCAGGGCCCATCTCCGACTGTTCACGATGAGCACTGTAATTAAAAGTGATCACTGTTCCCTTCCTAGCCAGTTTGCATCAGATCTGACTGTGTTACGCAGGAAGAGAGGAGAGGCCAACGTTTGAGCACAGACCCGGCATATGTCAGATGCTGCCACTTGTCACCCTGGGGATTACTGATCAGTTAAGTATGAGAACATCGGACAAAGAGCTCTGGTGCTCCACTGTGGGCAAACTGCCCAATCCCCAGTAAATGAATGATCTCAGCCCCCGGGGCTTGGAAAGCAGCAAAATTACTAGTATGTCTCTCGAAGTTAGAATCCTCTCCACACCTGGCAGAAGAGAGTCAAACTGAACCGGCAAAGGTTTAACTGGACGAAAGACAGCTGTCGATGTAAAGAAACACAGAAAACATGCTGGGATCTCCTGGGATCAAAGTTGGGAAACCCCCTGAGTTTTGCAAAAAAGGAAAGGCACAGTCCCACAGGGTGTTTTTTTTCCCCTGCCCGCGGGAGAGTCGGCGCACGCACGGCGGGCCCTCACCCCCGATGACGGCGAAGAGGCAGAACATGACGGGGTAGAAGAAGCCGAAGCACAGCGTGAAGACGTACTCGTGGACGGCGGCCGAGATGATGAAGACCGACAGCGTGGCGGCGGTGCGGAACCTCCTGCTGAAGAGCTGGTGGAGAAACACCCGGGAGCGCGCCCCCGGGGGACTGTGAGCAAGCTTTGCACCCTTGCACAGGTTCCAGCCAAGCCCCCTGTCTGCTCAGTTTAGAAAGGAGCTCGGCTGGAAAGCAGGACTTTTGTGGGACAACCCTCAGTTTATGTCTGGTCACATCAGCCCTCCCGGCCCCGAGGGCTCTGTAGTGATTTTACACATCTTTCGCAAATGATCCCCATTTAGAGGAGTGGTTGCTCAATTTTTTCAGGGCCTGTAGTGAAATCATATATGAGAAGAATGACCTCCGGCTTCAGCTTGAGCACAGCGGGGAAGCTGGGCAGCGCCCGCTGCTCGTTCGCCAGTGGCAGGTTAGATCTTCCTGTCTGCCAGGTGTCCCATGGCTCTGCGGTCCACCTCCCAGGAAATGAACCGGGTTTTTTTTTTTTACTTACCCACAGGAAGTCTCTGTAGGCGTAATGATAGAGCCAGTCATGCACAACCACGTTCCAGGTCCTGTAGTAATTGGCGAAGGAGGTAGAGTTCCACCAGTCCTGATGGGAGGGAAAAAAATTAAGTTTCATTCGGAGCGGTTATAATCGACAACATCGTGGACATGGGCATGCTTTCTGCACGAGATTGAGCTTTCTGTAGGAGGGGCATGCTGTTAGTCAGCACTACCATGGTGCTTGCATGCACCGGCAAGACGATGCTCATACATCCTGCAGAAAGCCTTTGTTTGTGGCAAAGGTGCCAGCAACGCTGAGTCTGTCCTGGAAGCACAAGGACTACAGTCTGGACATCCGTCCATTGCAGGGATCTTAGGCACACACAAACACCACATCTTTGGAAAATGGGAGGGAACCAGAGAGCTTTCGAAAAAACTCACTTGGATACAGAAGAACATGCAAACGTCACACAGAAGGAGTCTTATTTTTGGAAGAGCTGAGAATGCTGAGTTATACAGTGCTGATCTAGCAGTCTACCTTGTCAGTATCGCAGAGGATGAGCAAAGCCCATGCCGGCTTTGTGCTTTGATTAACAGGACTTCTGGGAGGGCTGGCTTGGTTCCACAGGAGGTGGCTCACTGTCATTGTGTAGGGTTGGTGGGTCTGAAATTACGATGAGATTCTAGGCGAGGCCACTCACCTTGTAGAACATCCTGTCGGCGAACCGCAGTATCTCTGCGAAGGTGTTGAGCCAGCAGTGTAGGAAGGCAAAGAAGCAGAGCAGCAGGATCAGCGTCCCTGCAGGAGAGAGGAGGGCTGGTGAGCCAATCACCTCACCCACCGCGCCACAGTTCAGTGAACGCCCACAGCGCAGGTCGGCGTTGTGCAGAGTGGGGGATGGAAGCAGCAGTACCTGGCAGGGTGGCGTGGAACAGAGAGAGGACCAGCGTTCTGGTGCTGAAGGGCTGGTTGTTCATGTTAGTGAAGACCGGGATGCACAGGCGCACCAGGATGAAATACCCATAAAACAGACAGCCTAGAATCTGCGGGCGAGGCAGGGGGAGGAGAGAGAGAGACAGGTGGCTGACAGGCCTCAGACTTGGCAGTAGAGAAGTGTGAATCTGTTACTTTTCTTTATTGGTGAGAGACCTCTGGCTTGTTATTGTACACTCTAATAGTTTGAAATGGGTCTGTAGACTTACCTGAAAACGAAGGGAAAAAATTCCATTCTGTGTAGTAGACAAGGCATTCTAGGTTAGTCTTTGGTGATGAAACACCACCCTCCCAGAAACATCAGAAGACCCATTTATTGGCAGTGTTCCTGTAGACCCAGCCTGCCTCGCGTCAACCAGGCAGGACAGACTCGCTACACTGTCCATCCATCCGTTTCTAAATCGTTCCTTCCAATTCAGGATCACGGGGGAGTCAGAGGCTGTCCCAGCAGGACGCCAGACCGTCGTGGGGCACGGACACGCGCACGTGTTCACATCACATACTTTTTCCGAGAGGCCAGTGTAGCTACTAGCATGTCTTTGGATGGTGGGAGGAAATTGGAGCTCCTGGAGGAAACCCACATAAATACGAACCCCACAGAGATAGCACCCCAGGTCCAGAGTTAAACCCAGGGTCCCATCGCTGCCTGTGCTTACTACACTATTAGTACTGTAATTCGGGCAGTATTACCCCGTTCTTCCAATAGAGGGCGCACTCTGCTAAATTAAGATTTGACTCTTAAGAGGGGAGTATATGTTGCTGTTGTCATCCTTAATTGCATGATTCTCATGAATTTTTAAGCTTTTTAATAAAATGTGTACGCTGGTATCTGCATTAGTTTTTGGATTAATCTTTTTTTTTGTTTGTGATAACACTAGATTAAGTATAAAGATCATAGATACTCTGTTAATGATAATTAACTACCACTTGTGAATGTTAATCAGGCACCCTAAAACTATACCTAATCTCATTAGTGTGGCATTTATTTATAGATGCTTTATTACCACCCTGTAGAACACCAGTCTATAATAAACTGATGACTCATAAAATATACATCAAACCTCTGGACCAACAGTCTAAAGTGTGACTTTGTTTGCTTAACCATGAAGTGGACTTTGAGTGTATTTAGTAGTAAAAATTAAATCACAAGTGTGCAGATCATAGATAACCTTGAAAAAATGAATATCTTACCTGTGCAAGCTTGACAGCTACATAATTCCATCTAATGTATGGATTCCTGCCATGGTACAGAATAATTTTTATTAATTTATTAAAGAGTAATCATTTGTAATTCAATGTGAATATGTTGTGCAAGTTGCGGCAACAGTTCAGTGACAAACAACCTATCTGTTGTACACACCCATAAACCAAATTCATTTTAACTCGGCAATTCAATTCCTAAGCAGTTATAAAAATTACACTGCCGAGTGTGTTATCTCGTCTGTTGTACATTTAAACCAGTGGGTAAAAAATTGGGGAATCTGTTGCCTTAGCTTTCCCTTACCTGGGGTAGGACTCCCTGTAGATCAGAGTTGGACAGAACAGGAAATACAAATAACTGGAGAACTCTGGTAACTTAGGACATTCTCCTGTGTGAAATAAAGCACAGAGCAGTATTCATATACTTTGTTTTCTTTGTACAAAGATAAAGAAGCACTGTAAATGTTTCAAGGTCAAAAAAGATTGAGCAATGTGGTCAATAATTGGGGGTATAGAACTGTAACAGTCAGATTATATATACTGCATATGGTGTGAGTGTGTGGCTTTTAGCTAAGACGGTAATCAAGTTCTGCCCATTCCATAGACCTACCTGTAGCTAATCAGTGCAGAAGCAGTTTGATTTGAGATAAAGATAAACTACATGTAAGAGAGGAGAAACACTGCTTGAAGATGGTAAGGAAAAAGTTTCACGTCATTTTCATCTTCTCAACAATGTGGGACAGCAGTAATAAATAGACAGTTTTCCGGATAGGCAGTTAAAGTATTCGGAATCAGCTCCATAGATCAACAGTGAATAAGCTGACGTCAAGGGACAGCACAAACTGAGAACAGGGGGAGATTCTTTGCACAAAGGGTTGGAGGAGTATTGAACAAGCTACCCTCCCACACACTTTGGAAACAAACATCCTGGCACCTTCTGAAGAAAAAAGTGGATATGATCCTCAGATCACTTAGTTACTAGGAGCCAAAACAACCTACTGGGCCAACTGACCCTGTCTCAAAAAGTGTGCAACTTCTCTTCTGTTCTAATGACTCCAAATAAGGCTCCTGGTGAGAGCACAGTCACAACTACAGATTTTAGCGCATAGAGTTAATGATCCTGCAGCAGTGCAGGCTCTGTGTCGGGCAACAGACTGGCAGAACCAACCTGTGTCATAACTCTTACCCTGCTTTGGTTTGGCTTTCATGATTTCTGGCACATTTTCTCGGATGAAGGAGTAACTTTTCATCATGAATCGTATCTGTGAGACAGAAAGGAGTTGACAGAATCTTTACAACAGCGTGGCTGCACAGTCCCGTGTTCTTGACAGACCTGTGAGCATTGCGTGATTTTGTGTTGTTCAGTTTTCTTTTCGGAACGTAAGGAAGATTTCTCGCCTATGGTTGAGCAGTTAAATTCAGGATGCCAATAAGATAATAGAAATAAAATAAAAGGCTCCCCCACATCTAATACACAGGATAACCTGGTTCCTCCCACAGTGGTTACACCCCCATAGGATAAATATCCACTTTCTGCATGAGCATCTGCATCAGACCCTGCTTGCTACTGGTCTGCAGAATACACATTCTGTATTCCCCAAAGAAAGCAAAGGGCCTTTGCTGGTGGGGTGACCCCATTTCAGAATCCCCCAGTATGCAGTGGGAGAACCTTTCCATAAGGATCAAGACGCTGTGGAGTGGCGCTGTCCCAGTGTGCAACATGTGTTACTGTATGCCGAAATGTGTGAGTATGGAACACGCTACCTAGCAGTGCTGTTGAAGACAATACATGGCCTCCTCTTGTTTGCAGTCTGTTTTATGTTCTATGTCCTTAAGTTCAAACCTCCCTCCCTTGCCTTGCCCTTTGGAATCCAGAGGCAATTTCATATCTCTGAAGGGCTGCTCGTCTTACAGTATCTCTGCATGTGAATCAGGTTGAGGTCTGGTTTTATGGAGCTGGAGAGCCTGGAGTCTTGACAGGTCCCACAGATATCTCAAATATTAGATATCTCACACCAGGTTATTCAACATCAGGTTTGACTGGAGAGCTGTGTCAGCTCGCAAGCTGCTGAGGAACAAGCAGGAGGTCATTTCTGCGCTGAAAAGGTCAAAAGAAAGAGAAGACGCGTAATGTTTCAGCTGTGGAGCCTCCGACCGACTCTCCCGTGCTTTTGATTTTTCAGCGTGTAGTTGACGTCTGCTTGTTCCAGAAATGACTGGTCTTCCTGGTCTTTGGCGTTTGTCTAGGACTGGTGACAGACTTTTGGCAGACGGTAGGAGACACGGACTCTGCTACATGTACAGCATGGTGTTGAGGTAGAAGTGCACAGTCAAAGGTTGTGGCAGCCCACAGCGTAATAATTTTCATGGAGGAGGTAGCCATGTAGCGTTTTTTAATTTCAGCATGGCAGGCATTATCCGTGAAAGTGCGCAAAGGTAGTAACAGCCTGATTCCGAAATGCTTTCCCCCTTTCGCTGTCCATCTGAGACAGGGCTACGCAATCCCACAGGGTCACGGGTCTCGTTATTCCCTTACCGACACAGGTCTTGGAAAGCCGGTCATTTTAACGATTTGGGATGCAGTCGGTTCAGGTAAGGAAGAGCTCGCGTATAAAGAAAACCCAAGGAAAGTTCCTGCAGCTCGCAAGGATCACATGTGAGCACCCATCATGTTGTTCGTTGTATAGCGTGGGTGCGTGTTTGTGTGACTGTGGCATCGGCGGGGCTCGTGCTGAGCCCAGTAACAGAGCAGACACCGCCAAGTGGAACTGACCTGCTCCAGGATGACGATGAAACGGGAGGCGGGGGGCAGGCTGTGCTGAATGACCACGTAGATGGGGTACACCCCCAGGACGCAGGCCTGGCAGGCCATCAGCGGGACCCCCACGCCCACGGTCAAGGCCCTGCGAAAGCCGGACGAGTGGTAACACCCCCCCCACAGGCACAGCGCCTTGTACGGGATGGCCAGGGTGTAGCCGAACATGACCAGCCAGGCAAAGACCACGGTAGAAAATTTCCCGAAGGCGAAGAACAGCAGATCAAACTCCAGGACCAACCTAGGACAGGCAGACAGAAGCCACTGAGACTCCTATGTGCTTCTGTAGAACTGAGAGCCGTTTGTGAGCCTTCTGAAATACCATTTCTAGCACATTGCATAAGCACCCTGTTGCCAGAGCGCTATGATGTGACTGGCGTGGACGGGATTTAGAAAGACAGACGTGTCTTAGGAATTGGATTCATGTTTTGAAAAGGTCTTATCCTGTCCTGCTTCAGCACATTTTTAAGAATGCCGCAATCGAGGACAAACTGTGATTTCATGTCCATGCTGTGATCAAGGTCATCGCTCTCTGACAAAATAATCCACTTGCCTACGGGACCTGTACTCTATGAATTGTTTCATGTTCTGAATTAGATACATACTCCATAGGCGCGATGGTGCAGTTTCCACGTACCTGCCCTGGTCTATGAAATCCACTGCGATGGTGCTGATGATGAAGACGCACAGCACAGCCACGAACATGTGATAGATAGTCCTGATGTGGTTGATTTCGAACAGCTCACTGCGGAGATCAGACCCCACCCCAGACCCAGTTAGGAATACAGCGGAGATGGGATTGAGGACAGTACACCCTCTGTGTCTCTGGCAGGGCCTTACAGCAGGGCATCCATTAAAAACATTTTAGAAAAAATGCTTCAAACAAATTCAAGAATTCATCTTGACACTTTAGGGGGTACGCAGGCAACATCTTGACTCTTGAAAGAGCTTTGCAGATGTTTGAAGTCTTAAAAGTCTTAAACCTTTGCTTTAAAAAATTTGCCTTGGTGCTTCTCCATTAGCTGGTGCAGCAACCTTTGAAACGAAGGGATAATACATCTTGTGTTCTTTATAACCTCTGAGTGTCCTGTGATAAATGCACTGCTTTCATGGAACTTGAGCTGTGCATCAGGGTCCAGGGATGCTTACTTACTCTAGCAGAGATCTTCTCTCCACAAATACTTTCCCATCTTCCAGTCTCTGATTCCTGAAATAAACAAGAGCAGTCTGCAGTAGAGAAAACTGGATCTACTGTAGCTGAATCAGTGTAATTTTGTCAATAGCATGTATCTGCAGTACAATGTAAAATACTACCTGTGTGCCTTCTCCACTCCATTGGTATCTGCATGCGCTTTTTTGTGCCTGGCGTACGATTGAATGGACTCGTCTATGGCTTTGTCCACTAGGTCACTCATCTGATCCAGCAGCTCTGCCTTGATGTGCTGTGAGAAGGGTTTGTGTGTTAAAGTGAGTGATCAGAAGGAGAAGGAGAAAGACAGGCTAACTCTGCTAGGTGAGCCTTATGACAAACACAAGAGGTGTCCAGAATCAGATTTTGGTCATATTTTCGATTCTCTTTGCATGTAGGTTTCAATATCCTCTCTCGCTTACACTGAACTGAGACGTCCCTAATCATTCAGTATCCTGTGATCATGGGGAGCAGCTCCTTACCTCCATGTGTCTCTTCCACTGGAGCAGAACTTCAGCCCCTTCCTTGCCATCTCCCTCCCCTGCAACACAAGAGCTGCAGAGCTGCAATCACTGGGTACAGACTCCACCTGTCACAAGCTCTGTGGCCAAAGCATGGGAATGTTGTACCTTCTTGAAATCGTGACGTGCAAAAGACTGGTTGATATACAAGTCTGGGCACTTGCCGAAAGTATATTCACCCCTGCACCTGGCTTTAGCATCATTTTTTGCATTTAAATGACAGCTTTAAAAGTGTGCAGTCTTTTCTTTCTACTTTGGGCAAGTTTCCCACTCCATTGTAAATGAAGTAGTTTGGAAGATTGCTACAGTTATTATTGTCATCCACAGTTTAAAATAAGGTTTAGCTTAGCTTTGTTTTCTCTGCTGTGGAGATCATTCTAGTTGTCCAAGTGGTAGTGCCTGCTGTGTTGGTACAGCGCTGCTGATTTGTGGCCCAGTGGCCCAGTTAATTTTTATTGATCCTTGTTGTTATTGATCAGGAATGGTCTGAGCTCTGCCTTCAGCTTTTCTTATCTCATACATCCATGGGGGTTTTAGACCTATACAGTGGTCACATGTTTAACTATCTCTGCACTTTAAACACAAGTATTTTGTTTCTGTTTTTCCAAGGAAATCTTCATGCTTTTTACAAGAAATAGGAGCAAGGAACAGTGGAACTATTGATCACAGCAAGACAAATCAACCCTGATGTTTTCACCTGTAGTTTTTAGAAATCAATTAGAGTGTTCAGTTTCATCACTGTATTTTGAAGCACAAGGAATGCAGAGAGAAAGAGGGGGAAACTGCTTACTTCCTGCTGGGGGGCTCTCCTCTCCGGGCTTGGTGTTCCTGTGCCTCAGGCTGTTGGCTGTGTCTGGAGCCTCCATGGCATTTCTGCTAACGGGCTAACAGGGGCGCTGTTGGGAAGATTGGGGCCCTGCGTGAGATCAGGCAGGGCTGGGAAACCCAGCCAGCAACAGTTCAGCGACAGTCGCTGCCACCCCACCCCATTATGCCATGGGCTCAAAGGGAGAGTTGGTCAGGGTGGCTTGCTCGTCCTCAAGATATAAACTATAACAGCAGCAGCGTGGTTGCCTGTGCAATCGATTGGTGTACAAGCACGTTTATATTTCCTATAGACCCTATATCCTTGCAGAGGCGTTTTTCTCTGATTCACTTCTTTTTTTCCTTTACTAAAACAAAGCTGACTCGTGGACGGCATTAATGTAAGCACAGCAGAGGAAGTAGGGATGGTTGGCACGAATGAAGCTCGGACAATCCAGGGACGACCTGACACCCGTATGTGTGTTTTGAGCTCTGCTTCTCACTGGCGCAGATGTGGCAACTGATAGTGGCTTGTACCTCCCCTTGCCACCCCAGGGTGTGGTGACTGGCTGGGGTGGGGAGAACGACCTGACTGCTGAGTGTAGGATATCTTCAGCCCTTTTGAGAGCTCTTAGTGTGGCCTGTCACTGACGAGATTTGGAAAGTCCTGCTCCCCAGATGTGTAGATGACTGCCATAGTGATACTGAATCATGGTCCTGTGTTCTCAACATTTGTGCCCTGACAAATTAGATTGGCCTTTCGGCTGCCATCAGTTGCAAAACCGTCCGTATTCCTTTATCTAACATAACCTTTGTTTGTATCGTTTCTTCTAACGATTTCTGACTTCCATCAGCGAGAGCACCTGAAGTGTTTGCTGTGCTCAAGAGCTTGAAGGTGATCGGTCACATCCCTCGTGTAGAACCTGATGGACAAAATACCCTGACTGGAGATTCCCTTGTGTTAAACTGTTAAAGACATGCAGGTACATAAAACAAGGATTTGCAGGTCTAATTAAAACTTTAGAATGGTGTGCAAGTTGTTTTGTTTAAAAGAGGCAGAGTCACCAGCACTTTGAATACTCGAATGTCTTTTTTTTCTGTGCATCTTCATAAAATGAAATGACTTGATAGCTTCTTTCATACTGTATATGCAAGTACATTATATTCCTGTCCTGAGATGCAGAGGTGTCCCACAAACATCTATTTGCAAATGTGACTAATAAATCCAGTTCTGCATCTGGAATCCGAGTCATTGCTGTGTAAGTAGTAAATGATTATGGTTGACATGTTGCAGGACTGAGAGGTAGTTACTGCTGTTTTTTAATTAGCACTAAGTGAATTGAGAGTTTGGAAACTAGAGCAAAGCGGTTTAATCCTTCTATCGATACTGTGTGAACTGGAGCAACTGGGGTGCTGTACTGCACCTCAAAACCACAACAGCAGACGTCCTGAATGACCTAACCAGAAAGGGCATTCACTCCAGCACGGGTTGATCTCTGTGATCACGGGTTCGAGCCAGGTCAGCTGTGACCATGGTTCCCTAAGCTGTGGTGCAGGGTGGGACTAGTGAGCCAGGGCGACCCCTGTGGTCTCCGAAGTGCTTGCAGACATGCGGCACAGTCAGTGAGGGACACACCTCTCCTCCAGGGCCGACCCAGAGACATTAGCTGAGCAGCAAACATCAGTCCAAGCGATTCATGCGAACTGGAAGTGAAAGCTGAGAAAAGAGAGGGCATAGTGCTCCGCTGATCTCTCTCGCTTGCGCGCTGCTCAAATGGAAATCCTTTTTATCTGCAGATCCCGCAAACCCAGTCAGACAACCTCTTTAGCTCGTTTTCAGGATTTTAGCATAGGGCTGTAGTACCAACGAGGACGACTTTCAGTTTTCTTTTTCCATCTAAACACTTGAAGAAATGAAACTGTAGTAAATGACTGCACAATAAATGCTCAAAAGAAAGAGTAAAACAAGCAGGCTTTTAAGAAAAGAATCCCCTCTCTCCAATAAGTTGGTGTTTTTTTGTGCGCAAAGTCTGAGTGATTCTCCCTGTGGTCTGTACTCACCTCTACAGTATTCCTACTCTCAGACACTGATTGCTGGTTAAAACATCTGAAAAAGTAGGAACCATACTTACAAAATCCGACCGCTACCTCTGGAAGAGTCTTTAGTCGTTTTAGGGTGGTGTTAAATAGCAGTGTCTTAATTAGAGCAAATGGCCTTAACCCAAAAATAGACAGCAGCCCCAGACGTTTCACTAACAGTTCGCTGTGTGACTGGGCACTGGAAGTTGGGGCTGCGTGCTCTGCACTCTAGCCTCACCACACCCCTCGGATAAGAGTGATCTTTGCTCTGCATGTCTTTGGCTCTGTAATAACCCAGCAGGAGAATATCGGAGCTGCTGTCCTGTTGTTATGGGGACAGGATAGCTCCTGTTAAACCCTATTTATCACAAACCCAAAGTGTTTCACCCCCCACCTCCACAAAGCAAACTGCAAATACCTATGTATAAAGATTCTCTACATTTTAGCACAGCAATGAAAACATCCTAGATCTCTTTAACTCCTCAACAGCTGAGGACCTTTGTCATGTCATGTCATTGACCAAACCATTTTATACCATACGGTGTTGCGGGAAGCCAGAGCCTACCCAGCAACCAACGAGCACAAGGCAGGGTACACCCTGGACAGGACACCAGTCCATCTCAGGGCAATTGCAAGCCCATCATACATGGGGACAATGTGGAGGCCACAGTAAAGGCCAAGGGGGGAAATTTGGCCCAGACACTGGGAGCCAGGTATTGACCAGGCTCAGCGCTGCTGAGCTTCAGTGGGCTGTCAGTTGAGAGCTGCAGGGTGATACAGCTGCTGGCCTGAGGACCTTGAAAAAAACTGATTCTCCTGGTTAAGCTGAAGTTTTGGGTCAATTAAGCCCTTAAGAGCAAAGGTGGAACAGCAGTACTCTGTGTGACAGTGGGAAGGGATTTCCCACTGTGCACCACTAGAGGGCCCTCTAGCTTTCCCCTTTCTAATTAGTCCTGCGTGAGAATGTTTATCAGCACCTCCTGGGTCTTCATTAGATACCCTCTATGACATTCTCACGCAATCTCCCTGTGTTCGCCTCAGCAAATCACCTGTAATGGCTACATGGACACACAGTTTTCTCTATTCAGCATAACTGCACTACTTGTATATATTGCATACACCATGGACACATAACAGCTCTATTCATATTGAGTTTTATTCCATTTCAAAAAACGTAACCTCAGTTTTGTGATTTTTGTGATTTGTGATTTTTGTGTTTTTGTGAATTTTGTGAATTTTGTGATTTTTGTGATTTTTGTGATTCTTGTGATTTTTGTGAGCTTGCAGAAAAGACATTTCATTGCCAGCAACTACTGCTGCATGCTGTTTTGTTGTGCATTTGATAACTAAACTTTGATTTGATTTTGATTTGATTTGAAATCCCATTCACAAAACAGCTAATCCTGAAGTTCCTGCGAAGGTCAGCTTGCAGCGTGCCGCTGTGGCTGCCGTTTCCTTCAGTTCCATACTTATCCTGCGATTATCCATCCATCCATTTTCTAACGGATTTATCCAGTTCAGGGTTGTGGATGGGCCAGAACTTATCCCAGTGAGCAACAGGCACAAGGCAGGATACACCCTAGACAGGTCCATCACAGGGCACTCACAGACACAGAAGCACACACTCACGTCCAGGGCCATTTCTTCCAGATACCAGTTAACCTACCAGTAGGTCTCTGGACTGTGGGAGGAAACCGCAGCACCTGGCGGAAACCCATATGAACAGTGGGGGAACATGCAAACTCCACACAGACAGCACCCCAGGGCTGGAATAGAATCCAGGCCCCCAGCTCTGCATGGCAGCAATGCCGGCCACTGTGCCACCGTGCTGCACAGAAATAAGAATATGTATTTCAACATCAGAACATTCTGCATCACGGCGTGTTGTTTGATCTGTGCTGAATGCCACATAGGCCCAGTTCAAACCAGAGATGCAAATACTTAGATTGTTGTTTTCGTCATTTTGTCTGAAAGTGTGCTCTCAGGTTTAAATGATGCGTGTCTTGTCCAAAATCGGAAAAACCTCACAGGCAGACAGTTCTCAGATGTATTTTTAGTAATTTCAAATGTTTTATATACAGTGATGTTCTGGTGTTTGTATATTCCACATTTAGAAAAGTATATCTCTTTCCCTAGCTGTCCTGATCTACACAGAAAAGTTTTCAGCAATATTCTGACACTTTAATAATTTGTGGTCATGCATTTTTCAAGACTCTGTGGGTTAAACTTGCTTGCTGTTTCTGATTTACTTGCTGAGCTGACAATTTGTGTAGGACTCCTGGCAGCAAAATTAGCTGGCAATTAGTATTTTGCATTAATCATTAATGTACAGATGGCCACACTTACAAAGGGAAGACAGAACATCTTTGCTTTCATTTTAAAAGCGGTTTAAATCTTTCCAGAAATAGCTGTATTCAAACATTTACAGTATGTACTCAATTTGTTGTGCATTTCAAGACACTTAACTGTATTGTTTGAATGCAGTTAATTAAGTGACCAGTGGATAACAGTGGATGCTGGAATATGTAGGCCTTACAGTAGCTCAGAGATGTGAAACTCTTCAATATTTGAGACTTCAGCTGCTGTGCTCAGCACGAGCCAGGATGTTGCACAGTTGATGCACTCAGATTTAATAATTGCCTCAGGATCGGTCATTTATTAAGCTTTGTACACATACACATACCCCCTGCCTCAAGTCCATGTTTATTTTTACACGTTTTCTCACCTTATAGTGGCTGTTAATATTACTTATCAAAGTAATACCCACGTGTTAATATTCATTTAAAAATAAACCAGAGCCCAGGCGACGTGTCGATAGTTCATCTTTATTGAAAGTGTTTCTTTTTGTACTTGTTAGCCGTTACAGAGCATGTTTACCGCATGCACCAACTATTGGACACGCTTGTTTAAAAAAAAAAACGGTGAAGTCTGAATTGTCCACTGGCTCCTGCTTTTTTTCTGCAAGCCCACACTTCTGTTCATCCTTCGCCCTTCGTCGTTACTGATTTTGTTTTGCTCTGCTTTGTTTTGTCCTCGAAGTGTGAAGTACCGAAACGCAGCCTCAAAATCCTAAACCAAATCAAACAGACGTCATCGGACAGAAATGTCCTGCTTCTGAACTTGACCCCCACTGCCCCCAATCTCGGCATTGCCCATAAACCCCTACCCAGCCACAACCTCTCCGCCCCAACACCGACAATGAAAGTGCGAAAAGTCAGTCAAAAGGCAGTGCCCTGCCTCCACCTCTGATGACATGCATGTGACCGGATTAACGCTGGATTAAAATCACATCTGATCTCTGCACGTGACTGGACTAATAGGAGAGGTGAAATGAAAGCGGAGGCAGGGTTTGCGATAATTTCCCCCTCTCCTCATTCTTACTCGTCTGAGAGGAGCAACAGCTCATTAATAGGAATAGGAAGTTTTAGACAGGAGAGGGAGGAGCCATCTCGGTACAGCTGACCCTCCCCTTGTGTAAATCTCACTCCCAGCTCGCACATCCCTTCGTCGACCTGAACCGGCTGTACTCAACCGCTGCAGCATTTTCCTGTCGACAGCTTCTGACCCACTTGGAATCAAACCTCAAACTACGTGTTTATCAGCCCCAACCTGGATCAGCAGAGGAACGCAGAGGAGAGGGATAGTATTTTCTGCCTATACACATACGCCTACTTTGTGATCTAAACTGCTACAAGGCACATGAACCTCCTGTATTTCCCCGCAGAGATTCTGTATGTATTACATGCATGTGCCACTGGTTTTTGGGTTGCAGAGGCTGAAAGTTTGAAAGACGAGTGTTAAAAGTTTGCATTTTACAGATGTGGCTCGCGTAGGTCCCTTACAGACTGACTGGTAGATTCAGCTGTAGCAGGGAGGCGCTGTTGCTTGGCCACAGAAAGGCAGTGAAGAGAAAGCCTGACAGCATGCGCAGATGTTGTTTTTTATTCCGATATTTACTGCGTCTTATCACCGTGCACGCGGGCGTCTGCTAAGCCATGAAATAATGAGAAATATATGCCCGGGCCCCCCTCAGGCATCCCTCCCTGGCTTGTTCTAGCAGCTACGCGCTCTGACTGGCTGATCAGAAGGCAGCCGCTGAAGCCCAGGAGGGTGTTGCACGTCATGGAGGTCGGAGACAGCAGAGCTTCGCCGTCTGCCTCTGCGTTCCCATGGCGACACGGAGGGGCGAGGCGCGGGCCGTTAGACATCGGGGCTGTCCGGGCGGACCTGCAGCACGGCTTTCGCTGATGGGCTCCCCACTTCTGCCCCTTTACTGGGGCTGGGGCAGTCGGTACGAGACAGCGTTCTGACTCTCGACTCTCAGGGCAGCCTGCTGCCATCTTTCTGGGGACCCAGCTGCTCTGGGGTGCAGGCTAGCACAGCTGCGGGTGTCCTGATAATCAGTTCACTGGGGCGACGCGGGACTGTGTTTATCCTGGAAGAAACATCGCTGACACACCTTTGCAGCTTTGCAAGCATGTTCTTCCGTCTTAGTACGTCGGCAAATTACCTCTGATTTGGGGTCACACAGGGGTACAAGCACTCATGTCTGCTGCAGTATATATATTTTTTCACCTGGTCCAGACCCACCTGGGTTCCCGACTTTAAGCCTTTACATTTATAGCTCCTCCATCTCTCAGCCACTCTCCGTTATTGAGAAGGGGTCATCTCTTCCTGTTTACACATTGGCATTTGAAGATTTTAATTAAACCACTGATAAAACCCTTCATTAAATACAGTAAAATTGCCATTTGCATAAAAGACTAAACCTATCTAGGTAGTACATTCAATCGTAATAACGTACATGAAATCAAGAAATATGTGCAGTGCAGAACAAAGACATGAACTGAACTGAAAGAAATACAGTGTGGCGTTTAAAAAAAGTTGCTACACAGTCACTGTGTGTTTCCATTGTACATTGATTCACAACAGAGGTACTGGACACACTGTCCAGTCCTTCCCACTGAGGGAGGCCAGACTGGACACACAGACCACATACCGACGCTTGCAGGACAGATAAAGAATAGGACAGTAAGAGCTGCAGGAGAAGTCTGTTGTAGTGCAATTTGTTCATGTACTCATAACAGTTCATTAAACTTCCGTTTCTTGCTTGTCTGTGCTAGTACTGTGCTGATACTAAGGTCAGGACCTCAGCTCTAAATTATGCAAGATAATTAAACTGTCTGGCAATCCCAGCGATTTATGAATGTATTCCTGTCACAGAGCTTCAGCTTTAGGAAATATGAATGCCTTAAGCCACATCTGTGTCCATTAATATTTGAGGCAAATGCCCAAGGCACCCCTCCAGCTCTGAGTTAGCTACTAACTCAGTGGTTTAAGTGATTAAAGTCCAATTTGTAACGAAGCTCTGGCAGTGAAACAGATCAGAAGAGCCATGAGTTGCACCAAGAAAACCAAGACACACTGCGCAGAGAGCAACATTGATTACAGCAGCAAGCAGCATGAGAGTGGTCACTCTTAAAAACATGTTTTCTAGTCTGCCACTTTGAGGCTGGCTGGCTAGGATAGCACACTGGAAGGATATCACATTCACAATCACAAGGTACAAGAATCTCAAAGACAGCTTCACGTGCCTACAGTTTAACAGTGCTGTAGCAATGGTTACATTACTCTAAGTGCATTTGAACCTGCAGAATCACAGCACTGATGAATCACGGTCATTGACCAGCACAGCCATTCACTCACAGCTTAACACCCTCCCTGCTTTACTGGTTGATAAGCAAAACTGCTAATTATCGCACTTCATTGGTTCGTGTTAGTGATAAAAAATACTACTGACCTACATTATTCATGGGGAGTATATATATATATTTATTTATATGTATGTAGCATGTGGTTCTTATGTATAAATAGCTCTAATTAAGGCTTAGTTAAATTCTACAGGGTTATCTCAATCTCTGATAAAGGAGCTGCCACAGTGGGGCTCAGCACTGAGGTACTAGAGTGGTGCAACATCTGGGCCAGCTTTGGTGTGTGAACATCTGGACTGGCCAAGAATGCACATCTGGATCACAGGGCTGGGGGTGTTGCAGAGCTGCTTTAAAATGTTGGAAGGTATCTGTATTTAATGTTATTATACATAGAGGCGGAAAAGATAAAGATCCTTCCATTTTTCCCAGCTTGCTTTATGTATAGAAACAGAGATTTTTCAAACAATTGCTGAAGTCCAATCCCAAACTGAGAATGAAGCAGTACTCTGCAATACAGCCCCTTAAGGTTCCCCACCCTGCCTTCCAGCTGGGCTTCTAGCACGGCCCCCGGAGCCTGAGGTGAGGCTGAAGGGCCCTGGAATCACAGCTGGCCAAGCAGCTGGCAGAGCTCCACCCTGTCGACCCCAGAATGACAGCAGCGCCCCCTGCTGGCTGAACATGAACACAACGGGCGTGCTCGCTCACTCCTCCCCCATCACCTCTGGTAGAGCACATTATTCTCCAGGAGGGGCAGAGGAGAGGAGAGCGAGCACACCGCGGACGCAACAGAGACCGAGGCAGCGGCAGTGCCTGGCACGCTCTATATACAGCACAGGACATCTAGAGATAACTGGGATCTGGGGGTGGGAGTAGTGGGAGTTTAGCTGGTAAAGGGGGGGATGCACGATCTAAAGTACAGACAGAGAGAAAGAGGGAGTACAGTGGGATACAGAGGCACAGATCAGAGGAAGCTGGTTCGCAGCATGCTGAATGCAGGAGGCCTTAGAAGAGGTCATCATCTGGGAGAGAAAGAGAGAGAAGGGCGACGTGTGAGCACTGCAGCAGGGTTAGTCAGACAGCCCACGTGCCCTCCGGCCAGTTTTTAACCTTGGTCCTGAATTTCCTGTCCGCAACGTCTGGCTTTCTTTCCAGCTGCGCTCTCATGTCGGCTACAGTAAACCCCGCTGTACCTTGATGCTTTATCTGTTGCTGTGCAGGTATGTTGCTTTGGCACGCCAGCCATTTACCATGTTACCTCATGTGATTGACCTATCAGAAGGGACTGATAAATAAAACGGAACAAAACCTGAATGGTTCAGTCCAATTTCAAATCCGGTAATCAAAAGAAACATCTTCTTTGAAGAAAAATAAATGCTAATCCGACGCATGATGGTATCAAAACATCTCTTGGTGCTTGAACTCTGGGAAAAATCAGTGGTTGGGACCACAAAAACCTGAGGACTGTGTGTATTTAATTGTGACTAGTGACACAAGTTAGAAATTCAAAGTACTGGAAATCGATTAAGTAGCTCATGAGCTTAATTTTGTCTATATTTTGTTGGTGTTGTTTTGCCGCTGCCAATAGACAGTAGTTGAGGAGATGTTTGTCAGCTCAGTCACTGCGTCTTTGATTCTCCAGCACATGGAATTGTATCATTGCTTGGTGTGCGGTTTTGGTATTTTCTTTACTAGAAACCACCACCCACAATAATTATGATTAGTAACCCAATGAGCAGCATGCCCTGCCCAACACTCCTCCCTCCCACCCCCACTGAACACTCGCACCTTGGTAGTAGCCTGGCACTCTGTCCTAAAACATCGCTGACCCCCCCCTCTGCAATAGTATTACCTCACTGGCTGTGGTACTGTAGCTGTTTCCTCTTGTCTGACACATACAGATACATGTATGTGCTGGTGCACGCTTGGTGCTGCGTGGGATGCAGCCCAGCATGCACACTCGGTGTGTGTGTGTGTGCGCGCGCATGCCGTCAGGAACGGGCTCACCTGCACAGGTGCATTAGCTGGCGGCAGCCTCCTGCTGGATGACGTACAGTTTGGAGGGGTCCTCTGCCTCGCTTCCACAGTGCGCATCACTTCTAAAGACAGGAGGAGCACCCTGAGCCCGCGGCCCCCAAGAGGCACAGCCGAACCCCCGTGTGCCCACTACTCACACAACGCACACATTGCAGAGCGCGATGAAGTGTCATGGTGGCTACGAAAGCTCTCTGATCAGCCTACTTTATATGATTAAATCTTATAGCATGGTGTTCAAAAATAATGAATGGCTATACTAAATTTATAGTTATCCCCATCAAACCCTAGAGTCATCCAGTTCAGTTCAGATTCTACAGGAATCTTCTGCTCTTGCTATGATGAAGAGTAACTGGATTTCCCATCAAATAACAGCAACCAACTGCTTTTCGGCGACTCTGCCTTTTGCTCTGATGTGCTTATATGCAGATGCCTGTACCAGATTGATGTTAAACAAGTCTTCTTTAAAGTGCAGAGGTGTGAATTTGTTGATCAAAACAAAACCACATCTAAAAACTAATTTAGCAAAAACAAAACAAATGTCTCATCTTGTCTGTTTGACGCTCATTGCTATAGGCTTCTCCAGCCAGACCTCAGATATTGGGTCCAACGCTTATATATTAGCAGCTCAGAGGTGAATGGATGTGGGGGCTGAACTAAGATCACGTCAGCAGTGACGTTGGCAAACACAGCAGGAAGAGCCCAGTCTTAGACACACGCACACAGCAGCAGCACCCTTACCTGTTGTCGTTGATGTCTGTAGCATTGCCTGTGTGAAAGAGCAGAAAGAGAGAAGGGAGTGTCAGATATGACCGTCATGAAGAGAGCAGAGGAGCTGCAGGAGAGACCTCTGCGATCCACCTACTGTATCTGAGAGCTTCTGAACTCTGTTATTCTGAGCAAGGTGCAACAGCTGAACCACACTGTGCAGAGCAGAGGTTGTTAAAACAGCAAGGCCACGTGAATTACTGAGTGAGTTAATCAGGAGAGAGGGGCAGACTGAGTGCTGTGTAAAACTTTGTGTGTGCGCATTAATGTACATGCGCATTAATGCGCATTACAAGCGTGTTTGCACTAGCGAACCAGCATGATCTTGTGTTCGCGTGTTCATGCCCTGCAATGAACTGGTGTCCTGTCCAAGGTGCGTCCTGCCTTACACTTCGAGCTTCTGGACTAGGCTCCGAGTTCCCATGTCCCTCACTAGGCATAAGCAGCATTCTGATGGACAGGGATGGATGAACGGATGAGTTTTCCGACATATTCCTAATCTAGTGTTGCAGTGTGTTCTGTACAAAGGGGCTCTGAGTTACACCACTGCTAGTGTTGACCAGCTCACCATTGTCCACGTTCAGCTTGTAAGAGTCCAGGCTGTCAGAGGAGCCCACTGTACCATTGCAGACCCCCACAGATAATCTGCACAGAGGAAAGAGAGAGAGGGGTCATGGTTTCTGCCTTTATGGCTTTGGACTCCTAAAGAGACTGTAGGGCTTGTCCTTAGAACCGAAGTGGAGAGCATCTGCAGTATGCACACTCTGTCTTTCTGAGAGCAGACCTCTACTTCATTAAAGGGGGACCCCCAGGGGAACAATTTAGCTAAGCCTGGCACAGGTAACGTGTATATTTGTGATTTTGGGAGGTGGGTGGAAAGCCCACTGAGACATGAACATGCAGACTCCACACAGACAGATGCCCAAGACTGGAATCGCCATAACGAGGTTTGTGATCAGCTAGCACTGGCACGGTGCAGCCAGGTGAGTTACGCACATTGTTGCCTGCGGGGGGCTGGGGGTCCTCTGGGAGCAGACTGGGAACCCCCCGGTCTGGAACATCACGTTGCTGTAGGTCACACCCTCCCCGGAGCGCACGTACAGGGGGTTTGTGGGCGAGCAGGCTGGGTAGTGGCCGGGCCGGATAGGCTTGGCTGAGAGGAGAGGGGGGAGAGAAAGCAGAAGTAGAGGCCGGTTTGCACAATTTGCACAATTAATGAACCTAAAAAACATTCTTCACTGCATCGCATGAGACTACACTAGTGTTTAATATCACAATACTGAATTGTGTCCTATAGAACTTTGTTACATTGTGCCATACTGTAATGCTACAGATTTCTGTGATGCTGCAGATTAACAGTAATATATTTCATAGTAAAATATCATAGTTCATACTGTATATGGTGCTGTATGACACTATACTGTTTTATATTGTGCAGTACTTTCTTGAATTACACTCTTTTAGATAGCACTGTAACCTTAATTGGTATGCCTGAATTTATTGGGTTATGTGCAGCAAGGTATAGTATTCTCTTGGTTTATACTGTTAGTAATGTTCTGTTGTATCCCATGGTGACTGACTGTACTGCACACGATTGTACTGAGGTGGGCTGTGATGGATTCAGTCGTTGGGTTGCATGTTGTGCCAGCGCTGTTGCATGTGATTCTGTGTGTTCGGATGGCCTACCTATCTGTGCTGCGTGTGGCCTCCGGAGCGGGTTCTTGGACCTCATGACATCCTTGATGCGCTCCACCTCTTGCTGGTAGCGGCGGCGGTCCTTCATGGCGCCCTCCTTGGCCTCCTTCAGTGCGCCCTCCAGGGCCTTAACTCTCTCAGCCGTAGTCCGAAGACGTTTTTCCAGTTTAGGAAGCTCACAACGCAGATCTGCATTGTCGCGTACCAGCTGGGGGAAGCCGGAAGGGGGTGGGTTTCAAGGTTAAAGATCAGAGGTCAAAGGTCAAAGGTGAGCACAGTTCTCACCAAAGAAGACCGAGGATGAAAACTTTGCTGCCAGCTGCTCTTCCTCTGCTTTCCCCGCTGCCCGATTGGTCAGTGCATCTCCTCGCCCCTGTACTGTAACTTTCTGCTGACATCTCCAACAGCCATTGTGAGTGGCAAACCTTTTTCACAACATCTTTGATGTTCCTATCCTTTCGTCCATTCCCTTTCCTTTCTTTGTCTCTCCTTTCTAATCAGTGCTGGTCAGTTTTTTCTTTTTCTTCCTAAATTTAGTCTTAGAAGGGAATAGCTTCTTTATGTCATCTTCCTGCCAATGCATGAACAAGAAAAGGCTTGTAAGTCCCCTGTCTGGTTTGTTGGCTTGACATCGCAATGGTTTCAGTGACTTCATGCCTGTGACCTGACACTGTGGCAGTGTTTGTTGCTGTTACCTCAGTTTGCAATGAAGAGCAGCATAAAATGGCTCGCACTGGGAAAGGGCATTGGATATAACAGTTTGGGAGATGCTGCTTAAACAAAGCCAAGATGTCATGATGCCTGTCCTCTGTACCGTGACCCTTAACACACTGAAACCATTTGTGGTTGGTGAGGAGAGATTTAATACCCGTCTTCAGGAGAGGATGTTGTTTTGGGAAAAAAACTAAACACCACATACAAACATGGGTCATACTTGAAATAATGGGCACTGTTTCTTTCTAACAGTTCCGGTACCAATTACTGTACTTGTCTGCATATACAAGCATTCAGCAACATTTTGTTATTCTGCACCTGGATGTGGGTTTAAAGCACTACCTGTCCTCTGACATATTGTCATAGCCTGTACAAAGAATTAACCTGAAATTCACTTTTAACCAGACTTCCAGATATAAAGCCTGTCCAGCTCTTGAAGGGTGCCTAATAAAAACTGACAGACTGAACTGAGGACGTACGATATCGACAGCATGTCAAAAGACTGCTCTACCCTGAAGCCGAGCTTCTACAAGGAAAGATCGAATCTGACCCTCTCCTCCCCTGAGCCTGCTTCTCCTCTCTCACACTCTTCTGGTGCATACATGTGATTGAAGCCAGAACAGTGCCAGAGCCATGCCAGAACAGTGCCAGAAGAGTGCCAGATCGGCGCCGGAGCAGTGCCGAACAGTGCCACACAAAGGCACTCTCGGGTGGGTCGGCTTGCGGGCTAATTCATTGGTGTCCCCCGTGTCCCCCTTTGATGTCTTGGTTCCCACAAAACAAACAGTGAAGCAAGCTGCAGACCCGGTGCCAGAGCAGTGCCGAAGCTGTGCCAGGGGGTTATAAGTAGTGTTCCGCAATGTTTGCTCTTTCTTATCTACCTTGCATCTTAACGAGAAACAAAGTCTTAGCCCTTTCTTAATTAGAAACCTTTGCAAGCCAACATCCCACCTCCCACACCAATCTGCCAAACTCGTAAGGAAAGGGTCCGGAACTACTTCAGAAATACTTGGTTTGTCAATGGAGGTTTGCACATTAAGTGGCTCAGTGACGGATCAACAGCCTTAGAGACAGCTCTGCTGGCGACACAACGAGAAGAGAAAATCTTCGGAAAACACGGAACAGTAGTTATAGCCAAGCAGAAAAGCAGGGAAGCGGACGGAGAGATGAGCTGTACCTTGCTGTAGCACTCCATCACCTGAGGAGGCGCTCTCCAACAGCATCAACAACAAGAATAACAGTGACACAGACAGCCAGACATACAGACAGCACAGGGACACAGGCGAGAAGGAAAACAGGGTGAGAGAGGGAGAGGCAGGTTTGGGGGCCACATGGGGAGCCGCAGTGTCTCTTGGGCTGAGTACCCGGCATCTCTGTCTTTGGCCCTAGTTTGGTGATTGCTCCTGGCATGCAAGACTGCTCTTGTATAGTGCATTTTCATGAAATGGGGGGTAATGAGATTAAAACCTTCTTTGCTCCAAAACAAGAGACAGAGGAGAGCTGCAGGGGATGTAGTTATGTCAGACAGTGGCGAAGGCCAGCATGCACATAAAAAACATTTTGGCTTTTATATCCGACAGCAGACAACGGCCGTGAGCTCTTTGAATGGCTCCAGTAGTAAAGGCCCTAACTCAGAGTGCAGGCTGAGCTCTGTGGCCCAGATGTTGCCGGTTCGAGCCGGTGTCACGTCACTGCAAGTGGCAGAGCACCGCCATTGCAGGACTAGAATTAATTATCAGCAAGCACATCAGTGACATCAGCTCCTCCAATCGGCACTGACTCTCCTGCCAGGCGCTGTGGAGCTCCCAGCATGTCAAGGAGGAGCCAGTTTACTCCTGAAAGAATCAGGAGTACCAGTTTTCTCCAGAAAGAATCGAGTGTACCAGTTTGCTCCTGAAAGTATCAGGAGTACCATTTTTCTCCTGAAGGAATCGGGAGTATCGGTTTTCTCAGGAATGGAGACAAAAGTTGTTGCACAAGAGCCAAGTCTTGTAACAACAGGTGATATGAAATTGGGTGGGTGTGTAACAGTGGAAACAGAGGCATTGCAGGCCTCTGCGTTATACATAGAGGCCATTTTAATGGAAGCCACTCATTCCAGAATGTTTCCCAGCAGGCACTTCCTTTTTCAGCCTGCTCCTTTTGCACTGTTTAGTTAAGGGAAATGCGGAGCCTGTCTGACTGTAACATAGCTTCCCGGTGTACATGAGAACACAGCTCTTTGCACCTCAGAGCAACATAGTATCAGTATGCAGCTTTTGGTGGCTGCTTTCTAAGATGATTTTTGTGTTGTGATTATTGGGCTTTATTTCTCTTCACTGTATTTACAGCCTTGTTGGCTTTTGTGCTGAAAGGAGAAGGAGAGCTCCTTGCAGTTGAAATGATGCCCCATTTCCATTGTTGACTTATGTATGAAGCTATTTTAATGCAACCCCCTTGCTTTGAGCTCATGTTTCATGTCCTCAACCCTACCAGTGCCGTGCACTCTGGGGGGAGCTCTGTTGTCCTCTGGGGAAAGGTGTCTCCGTTCGGCTAGAGTTTGAAAAAGCAGAAGGGGAGGGAAGACTTTCGGGGGAATCTCGTGTTGTGAGAGAACGCGAACCTGTCCTTGGAACAGAGCTAAGGTCCAGCATGTTGTTAGAGATGACGGGATGGGGGACGAGGCTCAGATCCCCTCCCATCAGACTGGAATGTGTGGTCACTCTCCTTCCGGACAGACGGTTGACCAGCAAAGCCCGCAGTCAGACAGGAAGTTGTCACATTGTGCTTCCTTCCCATGATTATGTACGCGCCCTTGTTCTTTCCTTGCCAGGCATGTACAGAGGCTCACAAATGCAGAGACACAACTGTATTCACACTTTGAGCACCTTCCAGGACAACAAAAGCACATAGTCCTCTTTTCAGGTAAAGCCAGTTCGTATGTACATTGTGATCATCAGCTGCCCCAGGGACTTTTAATAGCTGCCAGTCGGATTGGATGACAAGCACCTACTCCACATTGTGGGCTAAGGGGGAAGGTAATGCTTGATTCCTTCAGCCTTGTTTCCTGTTTTCTGTCTGTCTTGCTGGATGTCAGCCAGAGAGCAGCTTGCTACTGTACATGTAATTTCGTTCTGCTCTGTAAAGCATCACATCTGATGCTTTACAGATTTTTATAGGCTTGTCTCTCTCCTCAAGCACTGGGTTAGTTCTCCATGGCTAGTAATAGCATCTGCAAGATCCAGAATCCTGCAGTAGGTCTCTGTGACACAAGGCTGAAAGCCAACCTGCCAACCGGCCAACCTGGCCCAAGTCTTACTTGCACTGATATAATAAACTGTCCTAGTGTGGAGTGAGTGTGAGTTTGCACTGCTGCACAGCCTGATTTCACCGGAGACAACTTCAGAGTTTAATTAGGCGTGAGAAAGCATCATCAGGAAGAAAGCAGGCAGCCTGATTACTCTTTTCTGTTTTCGTTTTCATCCGACAGACCAGTTAGTGCCGAAACAACCCCTTCACGCATCATGGGCTGCTATCAGTATCAGTAAGTGGAAATACTATATAATAAGTGAAAGGTTATCTTGCCCTGAACGTGTAGGCCCATTACCTCTGGTAAGTTTGCTGCACTTGTGCTGATTGATGAGAATAACAAGAACAGCTTTTGCATGTTCTGATATCACCCTTACTTGTCTCCTGCTTCCTGAATCAGTTTTATAGGCGTTCTATGTTCTGTATGCTCTTCATCGTGTTCCATCCTTGTGAGAGGATATCATTTTTCTCCTTCAGTTTTCTATTTGTTAAATTAAAAAAAGAATTGATTTAGATTTTGGTCCTTTCCAGCTATTTTGGGGAACGGATGCATGAAAGGGTTTTGAATAATCAGCATGTCTTGAGGCCCAGGCTTTGACTTTCAGCCCTGTTGTCAGAGTCCGTATGTGGGCTCCAGCAGCCTGCCAGTGGCGCTGGAGCTAAGCGGGAGCCACTTACTGTGAGGCTGTACAAGCTATACATCTGCAGGGGATCGGGGAGACCAGCCTAGAGCCCCCGCACCACATCGGCGACAAACAGAGAAGAAACACACAGCTCAGACATTCGCTCGCAAACACTGCCTGTTCACTGCAGAGACTGAGCATCTTCAGAATGGACAGCCTGCGCCCTTCGTTTTCATTGTCAGCTGTCTACCTGCTTGGTTATTCTTCTGTCTCGCCGGAACCGATTCGACTGATTTCAGATTCTGACTGGAGCTGTTGAGGAGTCAACTTAACACAGAATCTCCTGCCTTCCCTGTGGTTGAAGCATGGGGATTCACTACGGAGGTGACTCCTTCATTCAGAAAGCGGACCATCAAGCAAATGAGAGCTTATCTAATACTAACGCTGGATAAATAAAAACCTTTGGAGGAACTTGCCAGGATCATGTTATTACCTCCATAACATCTTCCCCACAAACTGTCTCTGGAAGAGGTTCCAATTTTGAACTTTAAGCACTGGTCTGGAGGGCTATAGTGAGCCCCGGGTAATGTCAGTGCACTAGCCGTACTCTGACAAGCCTCTGAAACATGAGCTAGAGTCCTTGAGCTTACTTACGTTGCACTAGTGTTTGCTTTCCAAAGCCTTGTCGGCTTCAGGATGTGAGCTGTGATCATTTTCAGTTTTGCAGTCTAGTATGTACTAGTACAACCTTGGTTCTTCCATTCCATTCCATGCCTCTGTATGATCTCATCTGTAATTATTGCAGAGATCTCCAGCAGGTCAACTGAATACTGTCAGGGCCAATTAAGTAATTGAGACACTGTTTAGCGTTTTAGCCCAATCGTGGCAATGGACTGGAAGGGCCAAGGGGCCGATGCACTGCCCTTCACTGCCTTTCACTACCCTACTTGGGAGGATGCATTATGGGAAATCTCCACCTGGCAGTAGGTAGCTGCTCACCTGTTTGTGAACCTTTGTAAGCTGCTCCAGGTTGTTTTCAAGAAAGGAAATCTTCTGCTTCTGAGTGGTGCACCCCCCGCTATCATCAGGCTCCATCTCTGAACTCTGACGAGACAGAAACAGCACAGGAAGTCAAAAACGCACCTGCAGTGGTCAAGGGGTGCCCCAAGATCCAGTCACCAGTGTCACAATATTAGTTCCCCCTCCTTAAGGGTGCTCCAGCCCTATCACTCAAGACTTTATTCCATGCACCTGCGCCCTATTCCCTGCCCACCTTAAAAGCCAGGCGCTGACGCTCTTCCGGGCTCTGCATCTGATTTCCATATCGTGCGAGTCCGGGACCAGGAAGCGCCTGGTCCCGTTAAGGTTTTAACCTCTGTTCCCGTTCCCCGTCCGCCGTCCGCCGGTTCCGACCCGGCCTTCGTGGTTTTTTAATTCTTGCTCTGATGGATCTCCTTGGTTTTGGACTTACCCTTGCGTTTTGGATTTTCCCTAAGGACTACTCTCGGATTGTTCGCCTCGGACACACCTCCCCGTGCACCAGCGCACCTTGGACACGCCCCCCTGTCTTCAGCCCCATATTCCTGCATGACATTTCCCCAGTGTTTCCCCACTCCATCGGACTGTGTCGTCCGCATAGGGTCCGGAAAGAACTGTTCGTTACAACCAGGGGGTAGTGATTTCAGCCATTTGTGTGACTTAAGTTCTCAATGAAATAGTGAAACTACTTCTTCACAGAAATGGTCACCTTTACCACTCTTTCTCTCCTCCTGTCCTTCGCTTACAGGATAAGAAATAGAAATAACCTGATCCAGCTATTTCAATACTGTCAGAGAATACAGGTGGATATTGTATGTCACTGATATCTGCACCATCTCTGCCATTATATTCAGACTCAGACCCTATCCACTCCATCAGTATCCCCCTTCTCTAACGTTCCCAGTCCTTCTCTCTCCGGGAGTCAGCCCCCTGAGTACGCCACACTTACTTTTTTGACTCGAGTCGTGAGGTCTTGAACAAAAAGCTTGCGCAGGTTGTGGAGGGTCTGGAGTTCGCGGGCCTGAGGTGGGAGGGGAGAGGAAGAGAGAGAGACAGTCAGGCAGACGAGCAGAGTGGCAGCTCAGCCTCCAGCCCAGCAAAACCAACCCACTGGTCAGTGGAGGACACCCAGGCGAAGCCAGGGGACCGGACACTTACCACGGTCTCCTCCAGCCCTTTAAGGTCCTGCTTGGACTGCTCGTGACGCTCATGGAGAAATCTGCGTAGAGACAGAGAAGGGGGAGGGGGGGAGGGCTGGACTCAATTCAATGTGTTTTTGCGCAAGTCCTCCACAAGGACGATGGCGAAGGTGGAATGGCTTTGCATTTTGGCTCGAGCGAATCCAAAATTGCCCATTGTCTAAAATTCATACAAAAATGAATTGAGTCACATTTTTGTCACATATGCGCATTTAACTTCTGTCTGGCAAAGAGCAGGCTGACTCTAACGGACAGTGTCTAGTGACGGTGGTGGTGTGCTTACAGCTCCAGACAGCATAAATTGTATTTGGGTCCAGCTTGAATTTTTGAGTTTGGGTTTTTATTTTGGAGAGACATAATATGCTTCTAATGTTCTTTTTATTGGTGCACCGCATAGTTTATGAATGGATTCGAATTTGTGTGAATGTATTCAAGTAAATAATTAGAATGAGTCCACCAGGAATATTCTAATTTTTAAATATAACTAACGTTTCAATGTATAGACACCTGATAGAATAGAGTGTTCAGTGACAGTACAGTGTATTTAGTGACCGTAGTCACAGAGCATTTGCAGTGAAAGTACTGTGTTTTCAGTATTGGTACAGTGTGTTGAGTGACTCTATAGTCTGGTCAGTATTGATACAGTGTGTTAAGTGACATACTGTGTGATCAGTATTGATACAGTGTATTAAGTGACAGTGGTCTGTCAGTCTTAGTTCGCACAGTGACAGTATAGTGTGTCCTGTATTGATACAGTGTGTTAAGTGACAGTGAGCTGTCTGGCAGTTTTGGTGGTTCACACAGTGACAGTATAGTGTGTTCAGTTTCGATACCGTGCGTTGAGTGACTGTATAGTCTGCTCAGCATTGATACAGTGTGTTAAGTGACAGTGGTCTGTCAGTCTTAGTTCGCAGAGCGACGGTACAGTGTGTTTGGTGTCGATACAGTGTGAACTGTAGCGTGTGTTCAGACACACTCACGTCAGCTCCTCCAGCTGCATGCTCTTGTCGTGCTCCTGGCTCTTGAGCTTCTCAAACTCTGAGCGCAGCTGCTCCAGCTCCAGCTGCAGCTTCTGATTGCGACTGCGAGGCACAGAGAGCGGCTGGGTGAGGAACAGCAAGCGGAGGGGTGGGCTCACGACAAACCTGTGCCTTGCTCCATACGAGCTGATCGCAAATCTAAAGAGTACCTTGGCCATTAGTGCAAACCCACAATTATCCTTTAACAATTTTTGCATTGCTATTTCTCCTTGCTTTTAATTCTTCTAAATTTAGAAGAAAAGACGCAATCTGTAGACAGAATCTTCTTTTTGGGAAGCCATGTGCAGGTATAGACATCAGGTACTGTATCTGCGATTTCAGAACGAAAAAGCACTTTCAAGCCATGCACAGAGCTGCAAAACAAGCTGGGAACTGGTAGCCCCCACCCAAAGAGTGCAGGAAGTGAGCAGTCGGGTTTTTGAAAGGGGCGTTTTTTCCGCAGTGGGGGGTACACTCACTCAGTGAGGTCATCGATTATCTTCTGCTTCTCGTTAATCTCGTCCCGCAGGCGGCCCAGCTGCTTGTGGTGAGACTCGCGGTGTGTCTCCATCTGCAGGTCCAGGGCCCTCTGCGAGGAGAGGGAAGCAGAGTTGCTGTACTTTTAGGAAATACCCTCCCCTCACACCTACACTAATGACTTTTCAGAAGAAGCTCTCCTCGAATAATTTAGCTTTGTTAGGCATTTTACCCTTTCCCCCCATAATATCACCCTCTTCTCTGCACTAATAATGCTGTGTATTAGGATTTATGCTCCCTCCACATTGTCCAATAAACAGCTGCTATTGCCTGGTGTCCTCCCTGCCCTATCCAATGATTGCCCTGTATCCACAGTTACCTTCACGTCTCCCTCTTCCTCGATGTCGTTTTGCTTCTCATTCCTGGTCACTTCCTGCACGGTTTCTGAAAGACACACAAACCCACCAGGTCAGATATAGCTGTCATTCACTCACATTTACCTCCAGGTAAATACTAAAACTGGAAGTAATTACAGCTACACCCCTATGATCACCCATCTTAAGTTCACTTTCCGTTGTCAGCAATTGGTGTGCACTGGTTACCAACACGCAAGCAGTAACAATCCATTTTCTCCTGGTACAATGTATTGCTTTGCTATGTTAGTGTGCTAGTAGTGTACAGTATGTATCAGTGCATTTGATTGTGTGCATGTAAGTGTGTACAGTGTATACTTATCACTTTGTTATTATCAGAGCCTGTATCATTGGGTATGTGAATGGTTTCAGATGGAGAAGTCCATAATTTAGCAGGTTTCATGATATCATGAACAACAAAGGAGCCTTTAGGTGTAGGTATTCTTAGACTCATGCTTTTGGTAGTTAAAGGGGAACTGCAATGCTATTTTCATATTTTGGGTTAAGAAAGAATCAACATTGATGAGTGCATTTCAAACCACAATAAAACTAAAATGAATGCAGTAAAACCTCCAATTTACATCACAAAATAGTTGAAATTTCTGGGTATACACAGCTCCATATTCTGCGACAAAGCAACAAAACATCCATTGAGATGAAGCATACATTGAAAACACGCAGGCTTGTGAATACATCTCTTTCAATCCAACAGAAATGTTGCTCTCCACTTCAAGACAGTTTTGCCAACAAATACAGCTAACTTGTTAACTCTGCATGCAGATTATAATGGAACATTTCTGTGGTGAAATTTCTTCTCAACAACCTGTACTTATTGGCTCGTTCATCACATTGTTTTTACAATGACTAGTGAGCAGGAAGGGCCACATCACGTTAAAATTAATGTAAACTTTCGCTCTCGACCGTGACCAGACCAGGGGTTTGTGGCAACAATGGCAACCATACAGTAGTGTCACAAAGTTCACAGCTTTGTTCTTAATTTGACATTTGTCAAATTTAATAATGGGTCTGAAAACCTGGGACTGCAGTTCCCCTTTAAGACCTCAAGTGAATTATTACCTAAGAACAGTGTAGCCCTCAGGAAGCAGGCTTGTGCACCACTGGTGTGCAGAGTGTGTGTAGTTACCCTGTGCTTGCAGCCTGGCCAGCTCCTCGCTCAGAGAATCATAAGAGTCCTCCAGCTGCCTCTTTTTCAGCTCCACATTCTGCATGTACTCCGTCAGAGAGCGGATCTTTGCCTCATGCTGGAACACAATGTGTACACACACAGTCAAGAGAAACCGCATGCACACAGATTGGACAAAGAAAGACTGAGACACTGATAAGACAAGAACACAGTGAGAGCATGGAAACACCACTGAAACTCGAACTCAGAGAAAGGAAAGGTACAAACACACTGCACTTGTCACGGACGTCCAAAGGGACTAACCGTGGGGAGCAGGAGAGCGGAAAAAGACCAATATGCGTAGCGGCGAGACGGGGAAAAGGCCCGGGCTCATTAGTGCAAAGAGTTCAGGAATGCCGTATACTGTAGAAACCTATGCCCTCAGGGAGCAGACGTTGGGGTGCCCTGGTGCTAGGCGGGTCTAAGGACATCCGAACGTCAATGCTGAGCCAGGATAGAGTGCAAGACCCGGAAATATATAGCCCAAGGGAAGGAGAGGGACCAGAAGGACAGCAGACCGGAAACTAGGGACAGGACAGAGAAGGAGCGCCCTCTGGCTGCAGAGGGCGTGACAGCACTGAGACACTTAGTAATGGCACTCACACACACTCACTCAGTATAGACACACACACTGAGGCACGCAATGTAAAGGTCAGTAAAGACACACACTGAGACACTCAGTTAAGACAGAAACACAGTGAGACACTCAGTAAAGACATGCTGAGACACTCACTCAGTAAAGACATGCTGAGACACTCAGTAAAGACATGCTGAGACACTCACTCAGTAAAGACACACTGAGACACTCACTCAGTAAAGACATGCTGAGACACTCACTGAGTAAAGACATGCTGAGACACTCAGTATAGACATACACTGAGACACTCATGCAGTAAAGACACACTGAGACTTATTCAGTAAAGATGCACACACTGAAACACTCATACAGTAAAGACACACACCCCGAGACACTCAATAAAGACACACACACTGAGACACTCACTCAGGAAAGATACACTGAGACACTCACTCAGTAAAGACACACTGAAAAAGCAGGGACACACTGCACTGGGACGCTCGCACACTCAAAGAAGTGACATGTGCACACAGGGAGACAGGAGGGACAGACGCGCTGCAGACCTGCGAGATGAGCAGCTGGCAGGAGGAGAGCTCGCGGCCGGTTTCCTCCATCTTGCGGTGACACTCCAGCTGCAGGTTCTCCAGCTGCCGGCAGCGCTTCACCATCGACTTCACCTCCGACTTGATCTTGCTGATGTACAGGCGGGCCACCGTGAACTCCTCCTCGATCGCCCCGCTGATCTCCACCGGCTGGCCAGGAGAGAGTGGGAGAGGGGCAGGGCCATGTGGTTCCATCAACACGGTTACAAACTCTGCTAAAAAGTCCGCTAAAGCTATCAGATTTCATGTGGTTCTATTTTATTCCTTTTGCTGCCGTATGGAAAACTCAGCAAAGAGAACCACTGGGAAGCCCCTGCAAATACAGAAATGCGACCATGTGGGTATTGGGCTCTCACCAGCTTGATCTCTCCGTTGCCCACGATGGTGCTGAACTCGCTCAGGTCCCTCATGAGGCCGTTCAGCACCTCTGCGATGCGCTTCCTCTGGTGCGTGCTCATCTCCTGCATCCGGGTCAGCTCAGCCTCCAGAGCCATCAGGTGAGCCTGGGCCAGAGAGAGACAGAGTTGCAGCACGACGTCTTGATGGCTCAGCGAGAGCTGCTGCACAGGAGTTGCACACTGAAGAATGTTGTGCAACGTGTGGCTAGATATCAAGAATCTTGGGTTTGTGATCATTGTGATCAGCTAGCGACTTCACTGCTGTTGCTTTGAAATACTACTGCATGCACGGAAAGGAGAAAGCTGTTGACTCTGACCATCTTTTGGGCCAGCTCCTCAGCCAGCAGTTTGTTCTGCAGGCTCTTGTCCTCCACCTCCTGGCTCTTCTGGTCGTAGTTGACGGCCAGCTCCTCCAGGGCCTGCAGGACCTCCTTGACCTCGGCCTTGGCGCAGTCGCTCTCCGTCTGCAGCCGCCCGAGCTCTGTCTGCACCTTCTCGCTGTCCCCGCGCGTCGACGCCAGCAGCTGCCCGGCACAACGACAGGGGCATGACTCAGAGTGGGGCACAGAGGCCAAGACAGAGCGAGACCGTGAGAGAAGAAAGGCCGAGAGTCAAAGATGGGCGGGAACAGAGGAAGATACTGGGAGGGGGTTAGGGCAGTGGGAGAGAGCTGGAGGAACACAGTCAGAAAGAGACCAGGAAAGAAAGACAGACTGAGTAGGCAATGCAGAAACCGACTGATAGACACTGAGCCAAACAGAGGCAGGTGAGAAACTGAGATGGAGAGAGGTGGGCAGGAAAATGGGGAGCAGACAGATGGAGGGTGCAGACAGACAGACTGACTGACGCCTTTGTACCTCCTCCTGGTCCAGCATCTGCTCCTTCAGTTTCTCCACCAGCTGGCTCTGCTGGTTAATCTCGTCATCCTGCGGGCAGACAACAAACAAACACAGCCCCACGTCAGACACTCTGCCAGAAGACACAAGAAGTGTTGCATTGTGCCAGCTACTGGGACAAGCATACCAACTCCGTCTGTGCACAGTAACACTCTTGAAAGGTAGATTTTCAAAGTTCTGTGAACGAAAGACATTTTCTTTCTACTCGTTCTCTGGTAACAATCATTCAAATGTAAAGGCAAGCGTGCTCGTTTAACATACAACCATTCAACGTTTATATTTTTGTTCTGCACATAATAGAGCAATGAAGCGCACTGCCGTCATGTCCGGTGTGTGTCCCCTGTTGTATCCGTTGCCTGCCAGGATGGGCTCCAGCTCCCCTGCGACCCCGAATCGCATGGAGCAGTTAGAAAACAGATGAAGCTCCGTTTGGTGAAACTCCACAATTTTTAGCCTAACCTGAAAAGGCAGTTAGCGTGAGCCAACGCCAACTTTGCCAGCGTCATGTCAACATCACCTTTAATAGGCGTTTTGTTATGTCTCTTTGCGCACAGCACAAATGTAAAGGTTAAGAATGAGCAATTTAGAAATACACTCTAATGAGTGGTAAATCGGAAAGACTTTGGTCTGGACTTGCGATATCAAGAGGAAGTCAAATAAAAATTTCTGGAGTCAAATGAAAATGGATCCCATCGTGCAATGGAGCAAGAGCTTTGGGAGTCATCCTTTGAGTGTTTCCAAGTCGGGCTAACCTTGTCATCAAGCTGCTTGTAGAGCTTGCGGATCTCCTCCTCGTACTTCTGGCGCTCCTCCTCAGAGATGCGCACCACGATGGAGGAGGTGCTGTTGTCGACCGGGGTCTCGTCGCTGGTCTCCAGCTTCACCACCCCATTGGTCAGCTGCTCAGTCTCCGGGACGTTCTCCCCTGGTTCCCCCAGAATCCGCCCAGAAACAAAAGGATCAGTTCAATGATGAAAAAACCTCAGGCTTGTTACAGTTCCTTCAACTCTCAAGTCAGCCCTTGTCCAGCTGTGCACCTCCCTGACGTTGCTCGGATGTGAACCCACAGCTTGTGACATCCAGGATGAACCCTGGACTCTGAATGGAAGTCTTTACTAGTTGAGCTGCTTGAGTCCATATGAAGGTGATCCACCAGTATAAACCTTTCCTGATCCTATATCCAGATGGATTTGGTACTGTATAAAGCTCCTAGTGTACAAACCCTTTATTCATTCAACCCTAGATTAAAACCTCATCTGTTTTCCATTGGCTTTTCCATACTATTGAGTGTTTAGGGCTCTTGAATATCCAACAGACTGGGTTTCAGTCCTGGGTTTGTACATTTTTATTGTGAATTTTACATTTACCGGACATTGGAGTGCTTGGAAAGCAAACATTTATTAATTGGCAGCCATTTAGCTTCTGTTATTGGTTATTTTTTTGGAACCACCCACTTCTGTGTTTATAATAAAGTATTTTTATATCTTTTGGATTTTGCATTCAATAAATGTGCAGTTTCTGCAGTGACTGACTTCTGTATTTAGTGGATGCAATTGTAGTGCAGTACCAGTGTGGTCAGTGATTGTAGCTGCACTGTAGTGCTGTACCAGTGTGGTCAGTGATTGTAG